GACAACAACCATGACACTTAACAAGAACGTGATTTAGGGGGCAATGATAAACCCCACAGGGGTTTTCGAAAATAGGGGACCCTAATATAGTACCCTAAACAGTAGGACCCTAATTATAAGGACCCCAAAGTAAGCTACCCCTTGTTTCCGGAAACTCCCATCTGTCAGGATTTGTGTGACTCAGAGGTATCCAGGTCTCGGGGAGATCCTTCGGTCAAGAAACGATAATGTGGACACGCTTGTGGCTGAGGGTTTACTCCAAGACGATGCTTTAAACCCAGGATTGCCCAGCATCTGTGCAGCTGGGCCTGCAAATGGCGACGCATTCCATCAGGATCCTGTCGTTGGGCTTTTTGTCGCTAAGGGGCTTCGCGTCTACAAGTACCGTTGATAGGGGTAGAGGGTTTAGGGCTCAGGAGGTTCGGGGAAATCCCACAGTGAAGCAGCAAAGAAGAACACGCACAGACCTAGAACCACCAACTGCCTTACTCCAGCAAGCTGCCAGCCTATTACTCACTTCAACTATCCCGAACTCGAAAATCCAAACCCACTCTTCTTGAGAAAACCTTCCCAGGCACAAACTGCAGCCTCTCGAAGCGTTGGCCGTTGCACTTCCGGCGGCGGCCGCTGCATCAAGGGATGGTCCTATCTCTCCGAATCGCTTTTTGGACTTAGACTTAGGAGGAGCTAAAATCCTGCAGGGCTTTGGGGCTCTTTTATATCATGGTTATAAGAAGGAGCCCCAGGCAATAATGCTGGTAATTATTGAGGCCCCTTTATTCGGGCCTAGACTTAGACTGCGTTTAGAGCATTGGGGTTTTGATAGCCTCGGGGGCTAGAGTTTGAAGAGCTTCGAGCTTAACGGGATTCAGCCCCCTTTCGTCGGCTAGGCTAAATGGGAGCACTGGCTCCAGTCGACTGAAGAGGAGGGATTGGCAGGCAAAGCCCGAAACCCCTGAACCCCTAAACGCTCTTCCGTCGACGGCTACACCGGATGGACGGCAGTCTCTGCGGCTGATTTCCGGGCTCAGGGCTTTCAGTCCATGAGAAGACATCCTCCCTGCGCCAAGCCCAAATGAGAAGGAGGCTGGTGGCGTTGGTGAGTCGTGAAGGGCAAACGCTTTGGATTTCTTGGAAAGTAGCAGTCGGTATTGATGGGGATTCAACAATCATATGCCACCATGTCCCACGTAGCATCTACTAAGTCTGCTGATGCACAGGGTGACAGTCACAGGACGCAAACAAATCTCAAGAACCCAAACGTGTGGTCGGATATTGACGTCCGGGAGGAAAACTGTCCGAATCGCCAGCCTAAGCCCTAAACCCTAAAAAACCTAAACCCTACACAGACCCTAAACCCTAGAAGTCCTAAGTCCTATAAACCCTGATGTAGGAACCTGATTGAGAAACCTCGGGCCTTTATTAGCGTTCTTAATATGGATCCTAATACTATACATTGGGGTTATAGGGCCAGGGATTCTTAATCAGGTTCCTACATTACACTCCATTCCAACGATCTCCTGCGAGACTTGTGGGTCGTTCTTGTCATTCTTCTCCTCTGGCTTGTGGTTGTCCAGGTTCGGAAAGCGCCGTAGCTCCTCCACGGGCCTCACGCTTTGGGGATATGGGGCTTCGGTTTTTTTTGGTGGGGGGGTTAGGATCTCAAGGCCCAGAGAACGATCATAAGCGACTCATGCAGGCAATACCAGTAAGATTTTCTGTCTTGAAGCTGTACTACAACACATGTGTAGCACATGAGGCCTGAACAAGCATGAATGTATCCTTCATTTTGATGTTGTTTGCGTAGGAACAACGTGTGGGAGCATCATTGGACCTTGTCACTTGCAGCGGTTGCTTTATGTTTGACCCCACGTGTTTCGGAGGGGCTAAAACGGAAAGAGTACTGACTGAGAGAATTGTCGAGGACTGCATGTCACTGCCTTTGACATAAGTTACATAAGATACCATACACACACCCACCAAATCTGATCAGCTGCGCTGGCCTCCTTCTAATACAGTGGCCTTAATAATTAGAATAGGGTTTCAGGGCCCATTATACTCTAAACGAGAAGGAACCCCGAACAAATATAGGTCATTATTTAAGCCTGTTTTGTACACCCAACTCTGAATCCACCAAGGCTCCCCAAAAGCTGTGCCGGATGAGAACGGCGTGGAGCGGAGGATGGGGTGCCCTGAACAGGTCAGACGAAGCTCCGTGTATACAGCGGTAATGCAAATAGAATCATACTATGCATATACATCTATGCATCTACGTACATGCGTATGTATGTATACCTATGATATCTGTCTACCTAAACGTCTGTCTAGATGGCTATCTGCCAATCTAGGCAGCAACCTGTCGTTCGATCTATCGAGCTAACCTGTTGTTTGCATGCATGCCCTCGTGTATATGCGTAGACACATTGCAATCGGTAGCACGTTGGTTCCTCCGGTGAAGTTTGAGAGGGGGCGGAACATGACTTGTACTACAGTAGCTGGCATTACCTGAAAGGAAATGGCAGGCCGGCTGGCAACGGCAAACCGAGTTGCTGCCACAACTTGTCGCCGAATGTGAAAATGCTAAGACAGTATGTCCGTGCATGTGCATGCGAACTCACAGAAATCTTGCTTTGATGGCCACATGGCAAAGGTGTATGAACACTTCTACTGCAGGGGAGAGGGGTGTTGCCAACTGCATCTGCTCGGCAATCACAAACACACTAGCGGGGACAAGCTTCGTCGGCAATTTGGTTCCACAGATTTACACAACGCAACAGACTCAAATAGGCAAGAACTTGGGACACCAAATAAATGTGAATCCCAGTCAATCCCAAAGCATCTGGACTTCAAAGCAACAAACACAGCAGAGCCTGTGGCGTGGGCAGCTGCACTGATGTGGACTGTGTCGAATACTGGCGCACCGTTGTCACCTCAATTCCAGCGTGACCCGATGTCTGCAAGTGAAGAATCGAACTAATCAAGTCATCAACTAAGACATAGGATGACAGCGAGGCAACCGACATGAGCAATACGCCCCGTGTAGCAAAGGGACGACAAACGATTCAGCAGAAGACATGTCATGTGGCTGTAGCTAGGCACCTACAATTCAGATTCCCGGCACGACTCGCCTTCCGAAGCTTGCACTCTTTTCTCGCTTACAAATCCCAGCCCGCGAAATAGAGAAAAAAACAACGAGCTAAACCCTGAGAAAGCCCGGACTTCGGCCCGGACGTATTTGGAGGGTGTTGAGTACACAGAGGACACCGAAGATGTGTACTGCACTGGCTGAGGCGAGGTGTAGGACCAGTGAGTCACCTCCCACTCGGAGCGGTGTTTCCTAGAGTTTTGCTTTACAAAGTGTGTCATTCGCAGGATCTTACTTGTGGTTGCGGGGTCTGTTAACGGCTTCAGGGTTTCAACATGGGTCTTGGTAAGCAGTTTACATACATGCAGCTGCCCTAGTATAACAGTCAGTGTAAATAGTCGGTGACTCAACTTAACTTCATAACTCATAACAATAACCTGGCAAGTGCCTGAAACATTCAAAGTTGGGGGTTGCTCGATGTGCTGAGGGTTTTTCGTGAAGGACGATACAGTAGGAATCCGACTCCGCAGAGCTTGTATGATTCAGGGCTTGGGGTTTAGGGCTGCGTTTTCTCCGACGCACCCCTATCTGACCAGGTTTTGGGGGGTTTGGGGCGAGTCTCGTCATCCCGACGTCTCGGAAGAAGTTGGGAGCTCAATATCACCATTGCCCATGAGCATACCAATCATCATCACCATCATCATCAGAAGACCATAAGGCTACATGACTATGAGTTGGGAGCTTGGTAGGTGTTTGCAGGGGGTTCAGGGGCCTCACTGCAAACAGATCGAAGGCTCGGAATAGACCCACAAGCTTCAATATCTAGTACAAGGGGCATTAATGACTAGAATCGGGTTTGGGGTATATTATACTTCCCCCAAAATAGCGTAGTTAGTTATTAAGGCTCCTACAGTATGATGTTGTAAGCACGAGCCTCTAGATCCTTAGAGAAACCAGCTGCCCCACCATGCTACCCCCTACATCATAGTACCCTTATATGGACTCCTTACAGTAACCCTTATAGACCCCTTTAAAGGAACCCAGTAGTAACTCCCCATAGTACCATGCTACCACGCCTGCGGCTGCGGCGATGGCAAGCACTCACGGCTGGGACGTGCACTGAGGCCTTGGCGGTTCTGCTCCGCCACAGTCCCCCTACTATCAACAGCTTAGAGCTTAGGGCAGTTGGTCGTCCACCACATGGCCAAGACTCGGGTCAAATACTTGTCGTAGTAATCGTAGTAGCGACAGTCCGGAGTCGTAGTAGTCGCAGTAGCAGCGGGAGTAGTGGTGGTGGTGGTGGTGGTAATAATAGTGGCGACAGTGTGAAGGAGGGTCCAAGGCCCGGCTCACCCACAGGAGCCCAATAATGCCCCTTGTTGTTGAGGGAATGAACCTGCCGCCAGAATAATGAGCTGCGCATTCTGACTAGAGGCTTCTGACCTAGAAAGCTCTGCGCTCCTTCCGTCTCCTTCAGCCTCGTGATAGGCCACCGGGCAAATGAGTCAGCTGGGGCATGGCTCGACTAAATGCAGTTATTTGTCTCGAGCGCAGCACACACAACCCTAGGATGTCGTTCCTAAACCGATCGGGCGACTACACAGCAAGCGGTTTTCCCGCAGCCAGCGTCGTGTCAAGTCGGACGGTGTGAGACGAAAACGCCCTAAAACAGCCTGTCTGAAACGCTTTTGTTCTACAGCCCTAAACCCGTTTAGGGCAGGATTCAAGAGCTACAGATTTTGGGAAAGTGCCGTTCAAGCCCTGAACGCCTTCTTTTTCAAGACGCCTTGGAAAGCTTGTGGATCTTTTTGAGCCACACACAATCTTGATCTTGAGGGGAAGTCCAGAACTCGCCGTCCGCGTCTCTTGCAACGGCTTCAGCCGCCATCGCGTGATCGAAACCACCCCGGGAGCTCTAAACCCTAAAAGGACCAAAGCGAAAGGCACCGGATCCTTGCACCCATCGCGTGAAGGCCAAAGCCACGTCTTCAGCCTCCTCTCGCTGCGCACCTCGCCTGGGCACATGCTGTTCTTCTTCCAACCCTCATGTCTCGCTCGCTCTCTCTCTCTCTCTCTCTCTCTCTCTCTCTCTCGCTCTCGCTCTCTGAGTGTAATTGCATATGTATGTACGCATGTATGTATGTATGTATGTATGTAAGCATGTATCGGTGTGTTTACTTGTGTAAATGTATTAGGTATACGGTATAGGTACATGTAAGTGTGTATAGGTATTTCCATGTACATATATACATACATGTAAAAACATACATCGCAAGCATGTAGGCATGGATGTCTAGATGTGTGGGGGAGGGGGGAAGCAAATGCGCGCGTATCTGTGTATCTATCGATCCCCACTCTGGTCCGGGTTTCAGCACGATAGGACACAAGACTCTCGATCTTGCTTAGGGTCCGATAAAGTTTACTGGTGCTGCGCTTGCTTGTGATCGGGTGCTTCATTTGCTTGAAGTTCGGTGAGGCGGTGCATGCACAATCTCAGTTTGGATTCGGGAGACTGGACAAAAGTTCGAGGGCTCGGGTTCAGGTTTAGGATGTAATGGAGGAGCCTTAAGAAATAGAATAGGGTTTTGGGGCCCATTATACGATGAAATAAGGAACCTCCAAAGCATCGGTAATTCCTATAGAGCCCCTGTAGTAGGGCTTTGCAGCTTCTTCGAGTGTCAGTCTGACAACAAGTGAATGAGGGTTTTCCGCGCGGGCTCTTCATCAGCGGCACCTTGACTCTGACCGATGAACACAGTAAAGCAGGTAGACCGTAGACCCAAACACCCAACCGCCGAACCAACAGTTCAGTTATACATGAGCCCTGCATGCGAAAGTAAGTGCTTAGCCTCATGTAATCACATGCTACCATGGCTTGCTCCAATGCTGCCTAGCATTCCATGCTCTCTAGGTCCCTAAGTTGTTCAACGCGTGTCAGAAAATAGTTGCTGATTACGAAGGGGACTCTGCGGGTCACCGGGGATCTGTGCTTGCGACGCGAAGATGCACGCTGCGTGCTAGGAGTTTTAAGGCCGCCGACAAGCCTTCAAGTTGGTCGTCGTGCGGAGTTCTTTACAGGTGCCCTTCGTAGGTCATCCCTTAAGAAGGATCTGAGCCTTTGCGCTGAAATATCGAATCCATGCCCTTACGCTTCAAATCCTCAAACTCCACGCTGCTACGGGTAAAGCGATTGCACTGCGTTCACACATCCTCAGGATTCAGTTCCAGCGGCCTATTTGGTGGCTCAACTGCCTACCCCAAAGTAGTTCTTTTTGGGGGTTCATATATAGAATCCTGTAAGGTAACCCCAAAAAGGAACTACTTTGGGGCCTGTGGGTAATCATGCAAGACGCTGAAGCAGGCGTCTTTGCTGAGCCCAGGGCCCTGCTGGTCCGCGGCACCAGAAGGTGGCCAGTCGGCGGCATTGGTCGCGAACTGTCGTCAGGATTCTTCTAGTTCATGGTTGGGACATATTAAGAATGTAAATTTGAATAGTATACCCATAATACATATGTTGTCCAACTATTATTCGATGGAAAAAGCCGGAGGGAAGAAGCTTGGGGACAGTCGGTTGGAGGAGTGTAGGTCCAGTAAGTCACCACACCACATCGTACGATGAAGCCATGCGCCTCGCATAAACACCTACGGAGGCCGCAAGGTCGCAACAGGATGTTGCCAGAACAGAAAGCTTCCATCAAGCCTTGGTAGGCAGCCCCCCCCCAGCAGGCACGATGCTACTATTGCTCGTCGTCAATCGTTAACTGTCTCTTTATTCGTACTCAACAAACAAAAACCCGCAGTTTACTTGGTAACACAGGTCTCAGTCTACCGGTCTATTGGTGTGACAGTTCTCTACTCTCGCAGTCATCATTGAGGTTCGGAGTTGTTTCCGCAATGGACGATGCAAACTCGGCACCCCCGTCTAGTCCATGGCGGTGCTTCCGTGGGGATCGGAAGCTGGTCGATTGAATTCAGATGCAAGTTTGAGCTCTTGCAGAGTTGAGGATGGCGAGCTTGGGAGCCTTGCACGAATTTGTTGTTGCAAATATGAATGAAACTTTAACTAATTACTTAATACTAAATATAATGTCTGGTCATTTCTGCTGTTGCTATTGCCACTACTCTTACTACAACTTGTTAATGCTACTATGACTAGGACTTGTATCATTGTTATTGTTAGGACTAGACGTAATATTGCAGTACAAACTGCAGGAAGTTGGGCTTTGAACAGCTGCTGACTGAGAATCACCAGCTCTCTGAAGTTTCTCTAAAGCTTCCCAGCCAAGGCAGCTTAGATTTGGGATCTGGTTCGCTACCCTCCCCTCTCTTAACACTTTCAGCACGGACGGAGGTGACCCTAAACCATAAACCATAAAGCCTACACCCAAGGAAACCCAAAACCCTCAACCTGAAAAACCCTAAATAGGTAGTTGTCACAATTATGGTCCCTTTTTAGATCCTCAATATAATGCGGCACTTATTATTTTGGGGTACCCAAAAAGGGACCCTAATTTTGACAAGCACCCACATCGCCAACCCCACAAAGGTCGGCCCTTGGGCCTTCATCAAGCAAGGCTCTCTCGGAAGGCTTGGCCGGATCTTTCTGAAAGCTCGCCCACAATTCCTGATGCAGGGTTTGTGGGTTTTCGGCTGCAAGGTTTAAGGTTTAGGGTTTAGGGCAGGGGTTTAGGGATTTAGGGTTATCGGGTTCAAGGTTTAGGGAGGGCTTGTGGGTTTTCGGGAACTTGACAACACGGCACTATGCTCCATAGTTGTCCAGGCTCAATACTTCAACTTTTTGAACAGACGCTGCATGCCGTCATGCTGCTTACATCTCAACAGCGGAGTCCAGTCTAAGCTCCCTGTGCAACAGCCAAGCTCCGCCACGCAGGAAAGACCCAAAGCACTCAGAGCCTTGTCCCTCGCTGAACCAAACACCATTGCAGACCAAAGCCGCAGCCGCACAGAACCGTGACTCCTACACCACACTCTCGTCGCCCGTCATGCTACATGCCCGATTGACCCAAGCCGCAGCACGAAGCACCGAGTCCCAGACTGTGACCTCCGATGCCCCTTCGAGCTCGGATCCCCGTCCATGCCGTCATACCCACTCGACATACGAGCTTGATATTCACAGTCTGCAAAGCGAAACCAAACTTAACAGTTAGGGTATGGGCCTTTTCCGGCGGTTGGGATTACATGATAGGGGTTTAGGGTTTAGGATCGGGGCCTTCGTAATTACCTACACTATTTTGGCAACTATTATAATTATGGTATTCGCACCAGCGTACACCCTCAACCTGAATTGGAGCTCGAATCCTCGAAGGCCGACCAAGCAATGCCAAGAGACGGTCCACAGGCCTACTGCGCCTAGGCCCAAGCCAAGCATTTCAGGGGCGTCAGAAGTCGACTTAGGAAATCTTTCACGCAGTCGAAGCAGAACTTCTCGCGCAGGAGAGAATTGATGTTTACATGTATGTGTCTACTTTTGCATGACTGCATTCGTACATGCATGTGTGCATGTATGGCTGTAATTATGCATGTCTGTCTGCCTGCCTACCTGCACGTGCGCATGCATATGTGTCTAAGTATGTCTGCATGCATGCACCTGTACATGAACATGCACATGTGGGTATATATGTTCATACATATATATATATATGCATATATACACATGCATATGTACATATACGTATCTGTACATGTATACGTATCTGTATGCATGTGTGTGCAAGGTGCGTGTGCATGTGTATGTGCGGAAGCATGTGTAGGCTGGTAACCGTATGAAGCAACGCTCATGTGAATACACGAATGAATGAATGAATGAATGAATGTACGGATGGATGGATGGATGGATGCATGGATAAATCAGCCAATCAACAAGTGTATCTATGAGTCACTGTATGAAAGCAGGTAGAAATGTCTGCAGGGCCTTTATCCAGGAATGCATGTAGATTTGTACAGGTATAAGTATTCCAGTAGTACACTGAAACGTACGAATATAATAAGTATGTATGTATGTCCGCATGTATGTACGTACGTGTGTATGTGTGGGGGATTGTGGGGGTATGTATGTGGTGAATGTACAGAATGTGCATAAGTGCAGGTGCATGTACGGATGTACGACCTGTGCAACTAGTTCTGTCTATATGTGTATGCATGTGTGTGTGTGTGTGTGTGTGTGCGTGTGCGTGTGTGTTTGTCTGTGAGTGTGTGTGTGTGTGTGTGTGTGTGTGTGTGTGTGTGTTCGTATGACTGCCTGCCTGCCCGCACGGCTGTCTGCCTGCCGTCTCTGTCTGTCTGTCCTGCCTGTCTGTTTGCATGTGTCTGTGGATGTGTATGCATGTCTATACTAGTCTATACGCATATGCACACACACACACACACACGAATATATATATATATATATATATATATACATACATACATACAACTACATGTATATACATATACATATATATATATATATATATATACATATGTAAATCTGTTTGATTCTTCTTTTATGTCTTTATTTGAGCGGTCCAGGCGCTGAAATGGAAGGGCCGGGCGCTTTGCACACGTCGCGCGAGCTCCGCCCGAGCCTCTGACGGCTATCTGGGTCTGCGAGAATTGTAGTAAGGGAAGTACTGAACGGCTTAGGGCCGAGGGGTACTTGCGGGATGGCTTGGGGGTGTACACTCCCGCAACTCGGACTTGCCAGACGACGTCTGTGTGGTCGGGGTGAACTGACAGAGACTACTCTACTTTGGGCTGGGGGGTTTAGGGAATTCAGATGCTCTAGGCTAGGCGCGCGCGGCTTCAGGCTCTCAGGGTTACACTCACCGTGACCTGAATGTGGTCGGACGGCCGTAGGGACAAGGTGTCATCGTAGTAGAATTGCATTTGATCACAGGTTGTGCATGTATGTGCGCGTGTATGTACACATAATTGAGTGCGTGTGTGCCTCCATGTGCATAGTAAGACTTACCCCTGTCAGCCTCTGTTTGTGTGAGTGTGTGCGCGTGCCACTATATGACTAAGAAAACTTAATCCTGTCTGCCTTTATTCGTCACCCCAGCAATCCAATAGAACCTCTAAACTCTAGTGCATCGGTAGCCGGATGGCCTGTCGCTCCGCGGTGATCCCGCCGAAGCGCATGGCCAAAGCACCAATCAAAAGAAGTGCTCGAACTTCCTCGACGATGCCAGAGCGGAGCGTCTCTATGGTTCCCTTCTATGTCATAAATCTTAGACTGCAAAAGACGAAAGCCAGAGCAGCAGCTGTGGGTTTGCAGACATAACAAACGAAGCCGACTTTGAATCTCAAAAGCCTTGCTGTTTGCGTTATCAAGTACACCAAAATCCCAACCCAACCGTCATGACTGCTACTGCTACAACAAAACCAAAACTGGGCAGAACACATCATCGAACCTGACTCTACTCCTACGAAGCTACGAGAGTGCTCCCGGGAAGCGGTAATTCAACAAAACGAGCCTTCACCCCAACTTCTAGTCTGCCGCACCCCAGCTCTTTTACAACTGTATACCCCAAGACCAGAAGTTCTGCTGTTCAAATACGCACATCCCCAGGCCCAACACTTTTCAACCTTGCGACTCTCCTCACGCAAGCCACAACTCACATTTGCACTCTGCCTGAAGCCTTAAAGGCAAGTCCTCTGTATACAATGGTCCTAGGTGCTGAGAGGAGATTATTACTAAGTATGCTAACCCCTACATTAAGGCCATGTGATAATCCTGATAGTAACCCCCACAACAAAAACCTAAAGTCCCTCTCAGAAGGTCCCTGGTCTCTGTAACTAACCATACCTCATAAACCTTAAACTCTACGAGCGCTAAGCCCTCCTTTCCAACGGACGCCAAAACTCCGGCGGCTCCAAGGGAAGCTCTGCAGTCAACTGAGCGGTCTGCCGTCGGCGCTCTGATGCGGCGGTCCAATAAGCCTCCTTGCATAGGCGGGTTCAGGTTTAGCCCATATCTCTGTCTGCCTGTCTGTCCGTCTCTGGCCGTCACTATCAGCCAAGGTCCGTCTTCCGGCTTTGTCCGTCTCAGTCTGTCTGTCTGCCTGTCTCTGTCTCTCTGTGCCTTTTTTGTGGTGGCATGGGCAGCTCGTGGGCTGGGGGGTTCTACTGTATTGAGCGTTTGGGGCTGGATGTCGGAGGTGTGCAGTTTCTCTGTGCTGCTTTGGTGCTTGCCGGGTCTAGCATCTGGCATTGAAAGCTCTAACTGTTGAAATCTTCGCCTTAATCTCAGGATTTCGGATGGGCAGATCCAGGGCACCCAAGGCACTCTCAATCTACCCAAAGATTCCCAGCATGCAGGCTGTCGCAAGACAGATCGTAGATAACGACAGAGGGAACTGGCGCATCGAACTAGAGCAAAGCAGAATATAGACCAAATGCGAAAGGCACACTCGGGACTGGGACAACACAGAACGGCATGCACTTTCCCCCCCCCCCTCTCTCTCTCTCTCTCTCTCTCTCTCTCTCTCTCTCTCTCTCTCTCTCTCTCTCTCTCTCTCTCTCTCTCTCTCTCTCTCTCTCTCTCTCTCAAACGAGAAGACTATTACAAAAGCTTCAACTGTAGCTTAAACCATCACCAGGAGGTGCCACAGCACAGCGGCGCCTCCAGCCGCCGGTAGTCTTCTTTTGAAGCAGTCTCGAGCGATGCGTCATCGAGTGGGTCCTCTGGCCTGAGAGCTGCTTCCAGGATATACACTCTGGCACTGCTGCTTCTAGTCCAGTGCAAGGCCCGTGGTAGGTATGCTTGCCAAGTCTTTAGCGTTGGCTGTGACATTCCAAGATCAGAAGATCAAACTAACTATATAATCTGATCAAACATCCGCAGCCTCAAACGGTTCACCTAACCTAAACTTTAAAGGCTTAGGGCTTAGGATTGAAAGGCCTTAGCAAATTTTAGGGCCTGTGAAGCCTATTGAATCTCTAAAGGGCTTCGAGTTCTGCTTCAGCTCACAGCCTGACGCGCTTGCGAAAAGCCACCATAGATGGAAAGGGCCCGCCGGATCTTAAGAGCCCAAAGATCTTGCGAGTTTAGGGTTTAGGCTTTTTTTGAACGGCCCTTTTCCTCCTCGCAGTTGAGTCCGAAAGCAGTTTTCTGCTGGGCGTTTGGTAAAGCTGGTTTGTCAGCTCCCTGGGGTTTTCGGGTTAGGGTTTAGGGTTTAACAATCTAAGAAGAGAGGGGGCCCTGGATTCAACAGCAGGAACCTTCAATCAGGTGCCTCTAAGTTGCGACTCTTGGACAGCTCCCCCGCCCCCCCCGTTTCCGAATCCTTGGTAATGAAACCACTTTGCCGCGAACTTCCAGTAAACCCTGAACCCTAAATCCCAAATGCTGAAACACATATTTGCGCCTAGAAACCAAAACATTTTTGCACAGACTTGTACAGGCCCGCCTGGACCCCGAGCCCTTTGAACCCACAACTCCCTGGACCCCACACCCCGCGTGAAAAGTATCCGAGACTCGAAAGCTCAAGCTTTGCTTCGAGGTTGGCTAGCGAATCTGCCTCGAGCGGTTGTATCGTTGGGTTTTGGGTTGCGACTCGCACACTCGCACGCGCAGGCACGGCTTCAAGGTCTCACGCTAGGGGTTAGGGTATAAGAGGTCAGCTTTTTTCGTAGGGTTTGGGAGTTCACGATTCAACTTAATTAACCACTCGCTACTTATTGAAAGACTATACGGGTTACGGCTTCAGGGTGTCGCCTTTACTCAGGAGCAAATTGCCGGCTACGGGTTGAGGATGTTCTGGGCCAAGGCTTCGTACTGCCACTTTTGGATTCAGCATGTACGTACGCATGTATGTACGTAGCACGTCTGTATGCATGCATGTATGCGGGTGACTATGTGTATACATGTAAAGAACAGAGTCGTCTTCGGAAACCAAAAATCAAAAGCATACAGGCATACACGACCTGATGAGATTGAGTCGATTTCTTCGCTCTGCCCCACAGCAAACACGCGGCAAAATCCATTTGTGGGTCTGCGCTGGTATAATGCAAATAAGGTGAGTGCCCGATCTAATATTGCAAAGGGTTGACAGGTTTGTGGTTTAGAGTCTAGGGTGTCGCAAAACACAGAAGCATACGACATAACCTCCTCTGTTCGCAGCTCACCACTTCGCCCCAGACTCCTTTCTTGGCCTTTGGACCCTGGTATCATGTGCGATTCTCCGTGTCTGTGTCCTGGCTGCCGTCGATCGTTTTAGAAGGCAGGCTTTACGGTTAAGGTTACTGGTTTGGGTTTGCGAATTGACCCTCCTCTGTTCTCTCAAATTTGCAGCCTTACTGTAAGTCACTTGGAAGTGTCCACGAAACCCTGCACCAACACAATGCAACTACAAAGAACTACAATAAGCCTGAAGCCGTGATTTGCATTTCCTACTCTAACCCACTCTGTCCATATAGGAGTTTCCGAAAATAGGTGACCCTAACTAATTTACTAATATAGTACCCCTAAATACTAGGATCCTCATTACAAGGACCCCAAGATAAGATACCCCTAATTTTCTGAAACTCCCATATCCGGGCGAGGAGCTAGCTCGACCAAGGGCGGTGGCAGATCACGCGCTGTCCAGGCAACTTTGCCTCGGGGTTGGTCTTATGGAGCGTTTCCGAAAATTAGGGGTATCTTATTTTGGGGTCCGTAGAATAACGATCCTACTATTGAGGGTACTATATTAGGGTCCTCTATTTTCGGAAACTCCCTTATGGGGGCTCCACAGGGTGCTGTGAGGTTCTACGAGGTGTCATCAGGGTTCTTTCTTGTCAAGGCAGTCAATCGAAGCTATATCTATGCGTACTCTTGTGGCCACACTACCGGTACCATAAAAGCAACAACCTCCTGTCACTAGAGCATCACTCCCTATGGCAGCTTACCTTAATAATCAAGTTTCAAGGAAAACCCAGTGGCCGCTGGTGTAGGCGAGGTCAGACATGCCGTGGTCCTCGAGTATTCCTGCAGGATGTAGGCTGCTTGTTCAATTGCACCTTTTTCCGACTGCAGTCGAAGGATTTAGAGTTGAGGGTCCATACGCGTGAAGGAACAGTTGAATTCACGGATCATTTCGCAGCGACCGCGCCATAAACATGATCTTGGACATCAACTGGGGCGGACTTGTCTGCAGCATCCCAAACTGAAGCAAACAAGTTCAATGCCTGGTGGGCAATTATTGCGTAGTGATTGTAGAGGTTTCAAGGAAGAACATAGGGTTGTGTTGCAAATACGGCTGCAAATTCATTGCTTCTGGACTACAGCGCAATACCACAAAGTCTTCCAACCCGTTTTTATAGTATCCGATCCCCGCCGATTCTGCATGTCGAACTAGGCACTGCTAACCCAGAGACTCCAATATCCCTTAATTAAGGAATATACCTTAAATTATAGTAGAATCCCCAATATGATTTAAGGTCTATTCCTTAATTAAGGGATAAGCTATATGAATCGAGGCTGATGGCTCCCATCTTAGTTTGCCAAGACTCGTGAAGTAAAGCCGCTCAAGCCCTGGAAGCCATCTCCCTTCTGCCCCCAACCCATCTCGTTTCAATGCTCACACGCTCGCCACGGAAGGGTCCTTGCTTAGCAGACTGATACAGTGCGCACCATCAGGAGTAGGAATGGCGACATGCTGTCAACAACCGTCAATGCGTCCATGTCTGGAAAAATTTCCTCGTCCGGTCTACGATTCCTATCTCCCTAAGATGCACATCAACCTGAATGTCAGCAGCATGGCTTAGCCATTGCCGGAGGGAGCCCCTTGATCACAAACTAGGCAGAAGATACGACAGCCAATGTGCCCTCGTTGTAAGAGTTGGCTGCTTGAAACGAGAGTTAGACATTGAAAAGCACGGGGAAGGGCGGTGTTCGCCGAATCTTCAAACACAAAACTGTTCTTGAAATGGTTGCATGCCAGGAAGACATGGAACATGTCTGAAACAGCTCCGCTCTACCAGGTTACATCTTCAGGTCTTCCAAAGAACAGCCATACTTACTTTAGACAACTGGCTGCCTTAGTGTCACCACCTATCAAGCAGGAGCTTTTTCGGGCTGCGGCAGCCTCTTCAAAAATCTGCAAAGCTTTTTTGAGCTGGGTTCCTTGTCTTGCTCCCTATTGACTGTAAGGCACCTATCTTCAGGCTTCTCGGCCAGGCCAGAGACATTCTGGGTAAGATGCTCTGGAGCAACTGACAAGCTACCCTCCACTTTTCCGCACTTCGCTGTTTAGCTTAATTATGCACTGACCAAGGGCTTCGATTCTCACTCTGGTGGATGGTGTCACAGGGTGTCGGATTCATCATCACGGCCTCTTCCGTGCGCTCGTCCAGCAGCTCCTGTGCCGTCCCTTCATCCAAACCTAGTTCATCTTCAATATTGGCCTCTATGACGGTGGTGCCGGCACGATCAGCATCAGCGTTGTCATTGGATTCATGCTCGTCGACAACCTTGCTTTCATCACGATGCTGCGAGACACGCGATGCGCCTGCAGAGCCGCCGCCACTTCCAGCTCCAGAGCGGACTTGGAGCTTGATGGCCATGTCCACCATGAGCCTGTCCATCTCCTGCAAGTTGCGGGCCGTTTAGCGATTATAAGGCAGCCGTTGGGTGGGTCGAGTCGGGTTCCCGCTAAGCACAGAAATTTGGGAGTGTCCGAAAGTAGGGGACCCTAATCTAGTACCCTAAATGTAGGATCCTTCTTAAAGGGGCCCCAAAATAAGGTACCCCCTAAGCTTCGTAATTAAACTCCCAAATTTGTCAGGATCCTCAAACTTCTGTTGTGTCATCCGCGTCAACTTGCCCACCGCGCTGTCATCCACAGCGTCCTCGAGAGAAGGCCATGGTAATGCTGGGTTGGCAAGGCCTCCGTATCGCTGAACCCGATCCAAGGTCACCTGGGATCTTCTTAAACTGCGCACGTTGAGGCACAAAAGCAAGGAACGCGTTTCGTACCCTGCCCACTTCATAAACAAGGTCCCATGACAAGAGCCAAGTCACCTTGGGGTATTGCAGGTATTTATACGGGTCTTCCGTCGTAGGTACTGCACCACGGGGACCGTTGTCGCCCTCATCGAGCTCGCAAGCTTCAAGCAGGTGCAGGGATTCCACAAAGGCCGTCCACCGTTTCCTGGTTTGTGGTTTTGAGGCTCCACAAGGGCTTTTTGTTGAACGAGTATTTCTATAGGACCATGATAAAGGGAAAGAACAAAGCTTCCGACAGTGCCACCTAGTTTCTTGGAAATCAGGGGCATCGAAGTCTCGTAGATGTTGATGCCGCGGGTCAATCGGGCATTTCCCCGAGCATCGTAGTAGATTTCCTTGTAGCGCTGGCAGAGCTGCGCCACCATGAGGTTCATCAGGTAGACATGCCAGCATGCAGCGAAGCCAATGATAAACCACTTCAACATCGGCTCATCTGCCTGAGCGATTTCTTCGTAGTTGGAACTGCCATAGGTGTTGAAGGCCATGGACAACATAGACTCAAAAGCTGCAGGCCAGTTGAAGAAGTCTCGCATCTGGACAGAGTCGGCGCCGGTGCCGGGCGGTAGGCAAGCCACTGCTGAAGCAAACGCTGCAGTGAAGAAAATCAAGACAGCCACATAGAGAAAGAACTCCCACATCAAGCAAGCACAGATCACACTGAAAACGGAGAGCTGCACGTTCAGGTGCACCAACTCCGAACCGAGCATGAAGTAGAGGAGCATTGGGAAGGCTGCAAGGCGGTTGTACGAGTGAATGAGATTGCATTGCCACTCTCCATACTCGCAGCAGTCCAACACGAACTCACTACTGACGGCAAGACAGTGGAGCATCGGCTCGATACAGAGCATGCATACTAAGAGAAGCAGCAGCAAAACTTCGAAGAGCTCCTGTCGTGTCTGTAGCACGTACTGCGGTACAGGCAAACACCCGCCCAGGCGGGTCATCTGTTTCTGTCGAACTGCTCTGTACGTCTGGTATGCATGCTTGGCGAAGAGCTGCCCAAGGCTTCCAACGTACACGACCGCTCGGCAACAGATGATCTTATACCGATCAGTACTCAAAGGATCATTTGACAGGATGGCTTGCTGCTCTGCCAATGCGAAGACCAGTAGAGTTACGCAAAACCACATCTTCGTCAGAGCCCAAGGTGTTCGACAAAGCCGATTCCATAGCAAATCGGATTGGAAGACCACCGTGGGGTGGCAAATAATCTCAGGATCGCCTTACTTGATCATCCGAGAAGAGGGGCCGTATGAACTAGCCATAGCCACTAGTCATAGTCATGTTTCGGAGTATATTGCAGTAGGACCTATTTGAACCCTGAAAGGACTCTGAACTTGGAACTATTCAGGTCGCCTTGCTTGATCAAATCCAAGAGCGATTCGGTAAGCTGGCCATCTTCGCCCACCAGGAGCGAAGCGATGTAGAAGTTCGCTCGCCTGACTCCATTTTTCACCTCGGCTCTTCCTGGAGGTCTCTCACTAGCAGTAATGCATATTACGTACATACATACATACGTGGGTACATATATCACATACATACGCACGTACATCTTGTACATATACGCACACATACATGGTGTACATATAGACATGCATATGTACACATGTATATATGTGTATATATGTACACATAAGTGTGTGTGAATGTTTGCACAAGTGTATATATATATATACACATAGGAAGCATGCATGTACCGTGTATGTACGATGTAGTAAGTACGGCATGGCATGACACGGCGTTCGCAGAACTTATGCAAGTATGTATGTAGTAAAACTATCTACGTAGGCAGGTCGTCGGTAGGTCAGTAGGTCCAGTAGTCGGTCGGTCGGTAGGTAGGTAGGCCTTTATGTACATGTTGCAAATGTGTGTATGTACGTGTGTCTGTGCATATGTAAGTACGTGTCTAGGAGTGTGCATATGCGTGTGCTTGCCTGTTTTCGTGCGCTCATTAGCCTCTCTGCCTGAATACATCCATGTATGCATGTACGGATGCTGTGGTACTTTGGCACACCAAAGCTTAGCGACTCATAGCCATAGCACATCACGTCACATCATAGTGGGATCTAATATGCTATAGAACAACGTACCAGCAACAACATACTGCCCAACAGCGGCATTATCAATATGTACATGTTTATATATATATATATACAAATATATATATATATATATATATATATATACAAATATATATATATATATATATACAAATATACACATGTATGTATGTACGTATGCGTGTAATTGCTCGCTGACAACATGAAGACAGCTGTATCATGAAAGGAAGATTATGCACGTAGCCACCCTCGGCTGCGGAGTGTATTACATAAACCCACCATACTAGACCACTTCATACAAAATATAATAGACTAAAGATGCTAGGGATAGGTAAGCATGCAGTTTGACATACATGTGCCGTGAGGAATGCGTACATGTAGCGATGTAACGGACATGCAAATTGCATTGTACAGAGACTGATACATACACGCATGCGCTCAAAGACACATACATGCCTACACACATATACATATATATATATATATATGTTTGTATATGCATACATGTATATGCGTTTGCGTGTGAGTCTGCATGCGCCAATGTATATGCCGAAAAAAGGTTTGGGTACGCACATACGGGTACATGTCAGTCCAAGGTTTGGTACAAAAACGCCAAAAAACACAAACACAAACACAAACGGGTGTTGCTCTTTCTTGTCAACGATGCTACAGCTGCGTTAAGCCTGATTGCACTAGCTAAAAATTGCGCCGGCGCGTATGGATGACGACGGGCTCAACAGTGACGAGCCGGGGCTTGCTTGTTCGTCTGAGCTAAGTCCAACCTGAATTTCAAGAACTGCCCAGTCGCGTTCTTGGAGCGCCAGATGAGCCCATCAAACAACGTTGACAGGAGCGAGGGTGCTTTGACACAAAGCAGGCTGATGATGTCCTTAAACCGGTTCAATTCAAAAGGAAACGTACGGTTAAGGTGAGACAACAGCTAAACCATGGCTTACTCACGGCCTGATGATGTCAGAACTCGGGACCCAAGCGGTCGGCTGAACATTCGCTACTTAAGTCTAAGTGTCGGCATGGCGGGTAAACAAAGCCTCCATACCATAGTAGTACCTCGCACGGTCCGCACGCATGGTGAGCAAGTCGTTCAGGATTTCCCGGGCGGACTCCAAGGCGCCTTTCTCAATAGCCCATATCCTTAGTTGCTGAGTTCATAAGCCCCCCAAAAGTGTACACTTTCAGTTTCATAGTGGGTAATATTATCCGAAAAAGTGTAAAGTGTATCCACTCAGCTACTAAGTATCCTTTCGGCTGAGGTCTAAGGGTTTCTGACAGCTTAGGGCTTAGGGTTCAGAGTTCTTCAGCATCTCGGAAACAAGTAGATACTGTGTTGGGCCAGTCGGCAACCAAGAACACAGAAATTGTCAAAGTCTGCCACTGAACAACCTAGTATCAAAGGAGACATCGATTCGGTGCCCACCTGGACCGTCAGCAAAATCACCTCCCGCTGTCCACGGGGATAGTTTGCGACCGCCGTCTTCATCGACTTGGAAGTGTTCCTGTTGATGGCGATGATCACCGGGGTGGAGCCCTCAGCCAAAGTTCGAATGAAGATCCTGCCGATGAGGTCCAATGTCCACCAGAGCCCATCATGCAAAGACTGGTCCGGACAGTATTCTTTGATGTTGCTCATAAACGCTGCAACAAAGGGGCGCACTAAATCCTCGGGGACTCCATGGCCGGCATGCAGGAGGCCCAAGGCGGAGAGAGCAATGACGGCCTGATGAGTTTTAGTGTAGATGTCCGACATGATCGTCAGAATCCTTCCCATGATGTACACCAATCGCTTGTTGGCGGCCCGAAGGTAAAGCTGCGATTCCTCGCAGGTTGAGAAGAAGGTGTCAAAGACCTTGAGCTTGAAATCCCCCAGGGTCTCCTCATCTCAAGTTTGGATTTCAAGCTTTGGGGTTCAGTGCTTCGGTTCTTTTGTAAGCCTAAACACTAACACAAAGGGTTTCGTCTCCTCATCCATCCGAGCGAGAAAGCTCCTCAAACACTGGTGGTTATGTAGTGGAAGCTGCCTGTTCTCCTCCACCTTCTTTTCCACGATGCCCCAGAACCAAGACCAGGCATTCCTGAGTGTCCCAGCCCAGTGGCCGCACGAGACTAGTTGTTCGTTGGTATTCTTTTGAATCACTGCATTTCTATGATCATGATGATGGCAGCACTACGGTTGTTGTGCATCCGAAGGGCTCATGCTCCAAGCTCCAGGTGCTGGGCAAAAGCGACCGGAGACTGGCAAACATCACGGAGCGAAATTCCTTGAGGTTGATTTGACCATACTTGGCCAAAGTTAACGTCAAGACGTCGCAGTCTTCCTGAACTCTGTCAATGTTGCCGATGTAGGGCACCAGGGATTCCATGGCATAGAGCATGTCACCAAACCAAACCTAGGTTCCGGAGTAGCCCCTTTGTAACCCTTCTTCGTACTGTTCTGCTTTAAGAAGGAGACCCTAAAAAAAGGGGGCAAAAGGGTACTACTCAGGAACCTAGAAACGCGGTCTCCAGTGCCCATGACAGCAGCGTTGAACCGAGCCATGGCTGCAAAGGTCTTAGGAATGTTGAGGTTATCATTGTCCTTCCATGCACCATGCCGGTTCGTCTCAGCTTCCTGCTCTTGTTCCCCCTTCTCAACATCCTTACCATCGCCATTCTCATCCGCCTTCTTCGCCTCCTTCTCCCCGTCTTCTTCCTTCTTTTCCTGCTCTTCTCCGTTCTCCTCCGACACCTCTTCTTCGACCTCCTCCTCAGTGGCATTCACCTCCTTCCAGCAGCTCGTCAGGAGCTTCAGCCGTGTCTTGTAGTGCTCGTGCGTCTTCGCCAAAGACGTGCCCAAAGCCACCACCACCTGGGAGTTTCCGAGAAAATTAGGGGTAAAGAATTTTGGGGTCCTTACAAGAAGCATCCTACTAGTCACTATATTAGGGTACCCATGGGTCCCTATTTTTGGAAACTCCCACCTGGCCCAAACCGAATTGGAACTCCGGAGTCATGAGACCGCCAAGCTTGGACGCACAAACTTCAAAAAGGATGGCGCGGAACACCTCAGGGTCCAGACGCCTGCACCCTTCAGAATTATTCGAGAGCCAAGTGACTCGGGCTGTTTTGGCGAAGCCCGAAAGTGGCTCTTAAGAATGGCCCTATACTGTTGAACTATCCCCCTCTTCACCTCGACGTCGGCGGTAGTGATGTCCGCATTCATGTGGCGCAAGGCGATGTACTCCAGGCGCTTCTGAACCAACTTTGGCTCGGCAAGGTCTTGCAACAGCTCGGACAAAAGATGCCAGACTGTACCTGTGTACCCCAAGGCCCCAAAGTAGTTCCTTTTTGGGGCTCATATAAGGAATCCTTTAAGGTAATCCCAAAAAGGAACTACTTTGGGGCTCATATAAGGAATCCTTTAAGGTAATCCCAAAAAGGAACTACTTTGGGGCCTCTGTGTACGCACGAAGACATGCTTAACCCAGACGTAGACTTTGGTCAACAACCTCCATAAGAAGCAAGAGTCTAAACGCAGCCAGCAGCATGAACTTTAAATCCTCGTACAAAACTATCCGGAGACTCACGGTATCCCTCCGACTGAAAACCTCATACAAGCCCCGTTCAATGTAGGGGCAGCAACACCTAGAAGGGGCTGCTGGTGTATGTCATATTTTGCACAGCAAGAGCCCGACAAAATAGCATTGGTGACTCTTCGGGCACTTACATCAGCAGGATTTTCCCCAAAAAAAACTGTTCCCTAAAAGCGAACCAATTCCAAGGGCATCCCGAAGCCAAGGAGCTAGACCTGGTGAGCATTCCTTGAGTTTTGGGCAGCTCGTGCTTCAACTTGCCAAGCACTTCCTCGCCTGCGGCTTTTGGTCCCCCTAGCCGCTTCTCAGTCGTCTCCCAACCATTCTGAACTTCCTCGGGAGCAATTGCGAGTGTGCTGCTTTTGCTTTTCACATGGAACTCGGGTTGTTTGTAACGATCAATCGAAATTTGCTTTCCGACGCTTCCTTGACTGTGTACTCGTCGAGCTCGATGGTGGAAAGCAACCTGCTGGCTTCTTCCATGACGCCGCGCTGCACGGAAGCCGCAACTTCACGGAGGCACAATTTAAATTACAGCTCAGAGGCCACTCAGAGGCTAGAACATTGGCGGAGTTGATTGGAAATTGTTACGCCTAGTTGAGTAAGTGAAGCTAAGAGTCTCATGCTGGAGCCTAGCTCTGCTAAACTGCGAAGGGGCTTCAGGTGGCTTGCGCCAAAATCGGCTACATGAGCAACGCTTGCATCGAGAGATGCTCTTGTGAACTGACTCCACACAGCCTCAGTTGTATTTTGGACCAACATTACCCTTCCAAAACGAACTGCTGTCCAATGTGATGGGCTGGACTGATTGCAGGTGCCTTTCCGAGATATGCATAAAGTGGCTCGGGACAAGCCTCGAACCGTATAACCATAACTACCCGCACGCACACACACACACACACGCACACGCATGCACGCACGTGATTGTTGAACTTAAGCATATTTACGATGCACCTACATGACTAAACCATTAAAGGCATATCTATGTGTATATATATTTATATACATATATTATATTATTAGATATATATATATATATATATACATGTATACACGCATAACCATTTACCGATGTGTGTATTCTGGAAATGCATTTATGTATGTGTGCGTGTGCATGTATGTATAGACTGTGTGTATATGTGCATAGATGTGTACATGTGTGTGAGTGCGGGTGTGCATGTGTGTGTGTGTGTGTGTGTGTGCGTGTGTGTGTGTGTGTGTGTGTGTGTGTGTGTGTGTGTGTGTGTGTGTGTGTGTGTGTGTGTTTGTGTGTGTGAGTGTGTGTGTGTGTGTGTGTGTGTGTGTGTGTGTGTGTTTGTGTGTGTGTGTGTAAGATACACACACACACAAAGGAAAACATAGCTGCTTACACACATGCACAAATACATGCATGCATACATGTCATATATACATATATATATATACACGTATATATACCTACACATGCATACACCCGATGTATGTTCACAGATGTATGACTTGTGCATGTAGTGAGAGACAGAGAGAGGAGATTCAGTGGTCTGTAGCTGACGTTGAGTGCTGGAAGGCAGCGAGACATCGAAGCCCCTTCAACGGTCGGAGAAGCCATCTTTTCATCTTCCGATATGGGAGTTTCCGAAAATTAGGGGTGCCCTATTTTTGGGTCCTTATAACCAGGATCCTGTATATTTACAGTACTCTATTAGGGTACCCTATTTTCGGAAACTCCTATATTCCAAGACTGTCGAACGTAAACTTCGGGACACTGCCTGCCTTCGGTCTGCTGAAACGTGGTGGCCAGCGGCGATGTGTATCCTGAGGCGAGCAGGTGGGGTGGAGATGTCCAGTTTGGCCGATGGGATGCAGAAAAGTAAACAGGATTCATGCGAATCTTCGCTGTTCTCCGGGATGCACTTTTTCTGGGGTTGCGCCGTCTTCTGCTGACTCCTCTTCGACCCTTCTATATACAGCTTTTGGAAATACGGGTCAAACAAATCATCAGATCCCAGCAACCACGCAAACTTCAACAAACGTGGATTGCGTGAACCTGGTAGATTTTGCAGAGCCTCTTGGCATCGAAGTTTTCGAAGCCTTTGGGAATATGAATGGTTGTCAAAATTATGGTCCCTGTTTTTCTTTATTATTTTACGGCACCTAATATTTAGGGTACCCAAAAAGGGGCCATAAGTTTGACAACTACCCATATGTGAAGTCTTGGGGAGTGTGAGGCATGACTCTGTAGCGGAGTTTGAAGCTTCGGGTGCAACAGTGCCAGTGCGTGATTAACGACCCTCATTAACATATTCTTCAACGCGGAGAGGAGAAGTTGCGTTCATCACATGCGAAAATGTGCGAAACAGCCGCATGCCGGGCAATTCATATTTTTTCAACTTGGTAGACGTGGGACCTGTACGTGGGAGGGCCACATGGGCCCTTACAGCGTCTGTCGACGAAGTGCTAGGCCAGGCTCGCCATGCCCCCAAAGCAAGAAGTCCGGAGGGTTGGAGACAGGACGACATATCATTATTAGCATTAATATTATTATTATTACAAGAATAGTATTATCATTATTAATACTATTATCATTCACTATACTGGACTTCAGGGCTTCAACTTGATGCAATTCTCGAGTTGTGCCGTGTTTGGGGCCATGCAGACAATCCGTCTAACATTGCATATTGGACGATCCTCCCGAAGAGAAGAGCGCAGAGTTTAGGGTCCTTAGGGGTTCTCAGGGTTCTTAGGATGTAATCCAGACCACTCTTCAGAAAGTAAGTCTTCAGCTCTGCGATGGATCATGTGCTGTTCTCACAGGCAGTGTACCACCCAAAAAAGCGATCGAAACCCCTACAAGTAGCATCCAAACCCGAAGGCACGGGTCGCTGGCCGATGAACCAGTTGAAACCGTGCTACAATGTTGAGCTCACCAAAGCTAACAATAGACTTCAACATGGCCTGAACACTCAAGTGCCGCCGGGTGTCTGTCCAGGAGCTCTTCTCCTTTTGCCACCGGCCGCGTGGTGCGGAAGAGCATGACATCCCCCACCTGAATCGGAAGGATTCTTCCCGTGCCGTCTAAATGTCAAGGCGTCTCAATTGCCGGAAACCCTAACTCCTAAACCCAAGATTATGAAGTCCAGCAGCTCTCAAGCCCTTAACTGAAAACCTAAGAATCCCGCGCACCCCAGAGGAGCCATCAACATTGAGCTCAGGAGCAAAGACGTGGGCACAGTTCGGTTCGCCATCCTCCACCTGATAGTCCAGGCTGAACCCCGAACCCTGTAGAAGCACTAAACCTGATGTTCCCTGCAACTCCTATTTTCTCGTCTTGCTTTGAAACCATTATCAACATAGTAGGATCCATGTTCAAAGCCCCACTGTCACTGTATAACCACATTACACAAGAGCAGATTGATTCCTCGATGCCCAAGGCTACGGCTGACGTCGCCGACGCAGACACAACCCAAAACTCTAAGCCCCAAATCCAAAAGCCCTAAACCCCAAATGCCCTATAAACCCGAAATTTGCAGAAACCCGAAAGCACGAGAAGCCACCAACATCCTGAACACCAAGAGCCCTGGTGCGGCTGACGGCACCAGCGCGTGATTGACCATTGGCGGCCATAGCCAAAGGCCCAGACCGGCACCTTCTAACTCAAGGGCATTGAGTTTGGGGTTTGCGTGTGTTTGTGTATCCTCTTTTGCTGCCGTTGTGGTGTATAACGTTTTCTTTTCCGGGAGGGGGCTCCTGGCTTGTCTGCAGGTTAGAACTCAACATCCACCGGTTCCAATGTCAGTTGACTCCAGCGGTCAGGAGTGATATCCTGCTTGCTGAGCTCGCTTGCCGCAAAGGGCTTGACCTTTGATTTATTGTAAGGTATCATACACCCGGAAAGAACGTGATGGTTAAGGGTCGCCTTCTCAGCTATGCAGATACCCAATAGATCCTCTTCAACTACTTGCAAAGCTTCATGCAACACCACGCTGTGCAGCGGAGGACCCCGGAGGGACAAACCCAAGTCAAAGCGTGTGCGATGACTCATGGACGTGGCATGAATACAGGTAGGATGTGCACGCCACTGAGCGCATATGCACTTAAGGTCATGCGTACGATGCAGAAAGACATGCCAAAAAAACACTGGCCAGTGAAGTACGAGGCCGGGCCCAAGGTGCTTTAGTTCTGGCGCCCCTGCACGCGCAGGGCCGTGAGAAAACGACGCAGCACATGCAAACACCTCTGTGCAGCGGCTTTGCAGTGTAGATTGCCCGTGGTCTATATATGTTCTACAAGCACAGTCTCCGGCCTCGCAATCCTGAAGTGCACCCCTTGTTGAAACACAAGGCTCCAGATCATGTCATCTTGATCCCTGGAAGCCCATCTTGCTGACCCAGCGTCGTGGAGAACCGCTGCGGGGATCCGGGTTGTCCGGAAAACAGTGTGCATTGTATCGAACAATGCTGTCGATGCGTGCCCGTGTTCGAAATCCTCAGCTGCCCTGTCTGGACTGGAGGAACTATAGCACTGCAAGACGACTTCAGCCGCGCATCGTTGCGACTACAAGCAAGGGCTACAAAGAGAGATGCAGCAAATCCCTGTCAACAGACGTATGACGACAAAGTCTCCGTCCAACGAACACCTTCGCAAGACCATGCATTGACCAGTCCGATGTTTGGTGCAGCTCTGGCCTGGGAAAACTGATTATGGTGTAGGAGTTTCAGACCTCAAACAACGGGACCATGACATGCCTAAACAACACTTGCCTGATCGCAACGATCCCGCAATGAAGGAGCCCTAAATATCTGAAAGCTAGTTACAGCTAGTTCATGGGGCCGTGAATCAGCAACGTCCAAACGGGCCCCGGAATCCCAGAATTCCTGAAACTTCCGCACGAATGCTGTCTCTCTACTTCCGCATGAATCCCCTAAACCCTAAATATCTGAAACCTCTCTACTTCCGAATGAAGCCGGGTGGCCCAGAGTTGGCAAGTGCATGTCTTCGGGCTTCAGAGGGCCAGGCGACCAGTCTGCTTCATACCTTGGAAAGGTTCCCCAGTATCCTTCTGGAGGGTTTAGGGTTTGAAGAGGTTCCTGGGTTTTGGGGCCCATCATACTATAATTATTGTAAGGAACCCCCAAAAGAATATAGGTAGCTGCTGAGGCCCCTATATTAGCCCAGACCCAGTGCCCTTCTGAATGATCGGGTATCCCTCTTGCTGGTCATCAATTGGTTTATAGTCTTGAAGCGGCAGCGAAGCAAGCAGAGCAGCACACCAATGACATCTTTCAACAGCATGAGAAAAAGACACACAAATCACGAGTGACCTTATGTCACGAAAGGCTTCTACGTACGGGAGGAGTTCCAGAAGGATCAGCGGCGTCTGATGTGGACTCCAAAGCCAAAGCTCCGAACCCGACAGTTTCCCCACCGGGCACAAGCATAAACGGCATACAGGAACGCGAAAACAAGGCAAGAACGGAAAATTAAGGAACAAGAAGCACTTCAATGAGAGCCCTCGTAAACCATAACCCACAATGTGCAGATCAAGAGAAGATGAGCCACAGGCCAGAGCCATCGTAGAGGGAAAACCTCAGGGCTGGCTTTATTTTTCAACCCTCAGGGCCCTCTGCAGGATTTGAATTGGGCTGTAGCAAATGCCTGAAAATATACTAGGCTATGCTATGCTATACTTGTGCTATGCTGTACTTGTTTTGGTCTTGAGGTACCCTCTGAGTTTTCTGTCGGCGATGCCCCAGGCATGCAGTGTGCAGCGTATCCCATGTGGATATGAAAAGTCGTGCCGACAAATAATGCCGACGGTCATCCGAGCACAGCTGCTTCATGCACCGAAGACGAGGACGGCGACGAGATGAGGCTTGGAGTTTAAGATTCAATAGAAGTCGCATGCTCTTCCCTTAGCGCGTAAACAACGTCGAACTGGGTGCCTCTGAACATAAAGGAGCAAGTACAAACACCAAAAACATGATCATTCATGAAGGTCTGCCGGAATGCATTTGTTACGGGAACCGCTAGTTAATCTCAGGTTCCCCTAAAGTCTAGAGTGTTACGCAACCTCTGCAACGACCACTATTGCCCCTACACAACCCCGCGCGAAAACCCGCAAAAGGATCTCAACTTTTTGCAAACAGGAGACTGCATGATTTCGGTTTCTTTAGTATAAATGTACTCGAACAAACCCCAAACCACCCTTCTAAGGCCCAGATAGATTATGCAGAATCCTTACGTGAGCAGGCGAGAAACAGATCCTCTGCAAGAAAGGCACTTGTCCGTGCGGCCGCCTTTGAAAGGTGGTTCAGGAGAATAGGGGTTTGGGGCTATATGATACTATAAAAAGAGAAGGAACCACCACAAAAGTGTTAATAAATATTTGGGCCCCTATAGTACAGTAGAAGCCCGAAAGTTGGAACATGGCTTTAGGAGGATTAGTGTTAGGATCCCTTATACATTAACCAAAGGGCCTGAGGATGATGATCCTCCAACTTTCTGGCTCCTGCTATAGTATAAAGGGAAGTCCAGAAAGTTGGAATATGGTTTCAGGGTAGGATACCTTATAATTTACCATAAAGGGCTTAGGATCATCATATTCCAACTTTCTGGCTTTTGCTTTAATGACTTCTGCTTGGGGCTTCAGGTTCATAGGTGGGGGGATCAGGGATTAGGTTGCTGGGGTTCGCGGAGGGTCTAATACAGCTATCTAATGTTCACCAAGAGGTTCAAGGCCTACAGAACTTTGGGCCTCGAAATTAGAGCTTTTCGGGTTGAGGCCTGGGCCCGGGTCGTGTCTAGAGAGCAAGTTGCTGGTGAAGGGCTTGCTGGCGGTGGTTTTGCGTGGTTAGGATTCGTGTTTCCGACTTATAGGATTCAGGCCTTGGACTTCGCAGGCGAGGCTTCTTCGGGTCGGAAGTCAAGCACAAGGGAGCTTCAGATGGTCATAGGTTCTTGCTGGGGCAAAGAGTGCTACTCCAAAACCGGAAACAGGAAACCCAAGCGCCATTCGGCTTCTTTCGGGACGCAGCTTCTAAGACCCATGGTTGGTGAGTATGCTATTCTTTGCACAGCGTACAAACGTTGTGCACGATTTGGTAGTGTCTTTGTGTTGTCTTTGTGCCCTTTCGTGGGCGTGGACCTCCTGCTTGAAGTCTCTGCGATCTGATCTATCTGGAGTCTCGACATTAGCTCCGCTTTTTGGTTTACCTCCTTGTCGCAGTACGGGACCCTGACCACCCTAACCACAAAATACGGCACATGTCCAGAAAGGACTGGGAACCGACATGAACCCAAACGATGCTACAAGCAATGGCGGTGTCCCGTGCCGTCGAACATGTCATTATTCTCATCTGGAATGACGTGCTCATGGCGAACCAGAGCTGGTCGCTCAGTGCAGCCTCTCTCACAAAGTCGTTGGCCTCTAGTTTCTCTGCCAGCAGCCGCCGTGCCCTCCACGGACCAGCTGGGGTGCTTAGTGTGGGGCTTTCTGCATTCGGATGACCGACAGTGCGTTCTCCTGAGCACCTATCGGGCTTCTCAGAGAGCGCCCCCCGTCAACCAGGACAGTACCCGCTGCCTACCTCTCTGCTTACCCTGGTCATCACATGAAAGGGGATGCAACTGCGCAGCGCTAGCACAGCAGCGCGCCTAAACACGGCTGTGATGCGAGATCAACTTTTCAAATTGATCGGGCTACCACGTTTATGGTGCAGTGCAGTACTGAGTGACTCACTTCTGCCCTCGTTTGGATTGATACTGGGTGTCGCTTCCTCAAGGAATCAGAAGTCATGGCATAACTGGCCACCACAGCCTCTTCTCCGACAGCGCCGCTCCACCGGCAGAGGCAACGCGGGCAAGCGGGCGCGCAGAGATGAACAGCGTACCTGCAAGAAAACCGTCGAACCCACTGGCCTTCATCCATGAACCTGTGCATAGATCTGCGAGGACGAGCCCGCCGGATATTGAAGACCTCACTCCAGAAACTCCACAAGGTCTCCACAAGGCGGCCCTGCCTTCTTCCATCGCCTCCTGTGCCACCACGCCCCGGCCCCTCGCGGCCCCGAGCCAGCGCCGTGCCACAGAGGGACAGACGAAGTCCAGCGGCCCGCAGCTCAAGGAGAGGGGCCTCTTTCAGAGGGCTAAGGGCTGTATATATATATATATATATAATTTATTTGAATTTATTTATATATATATATACATATGTATAGATGCAGACATGACACAGAAGCGGAAACGGTCTCAAAGATTCATCTCCCTGCTTCCGGTGACCTAAACCACGTTCTCAAACGCAAAGCCCTGATCTCTGAATCTCTGGCACCTGCACTTCAACGCCTCGGGCGTGTGCAAAAGTTGCAGAACATCCACCTCCGGAAATGGGGCATCGTGGCAATGCTGACAGTTGTCGTCGACATCACCATCACCATCACCACCATCATCGTCACCAGCATCTTCATCATCATCATCATCATCATCATCAGGTTGGTGTTGTCGGATAGCACAGGTTCAGCCAGATCTTGTTTCTGACCGTATTGGGTGGAGGTTGCAAGCTCTCGACGCCAGGGTTGTCGGTTTAGAAGCTTAAGGGTTGTGCCAATGCTGCCGTGGTCTCTCAACATATCTGTACACACACACACACCTGTACACATACATACACGCACATTTGCACTTGCTTGTTGTTTTGCCTCTGTATTTCAACCATACTGATATTTATATATGCACATGAACAACTAGGTGTATTAGTGTATATTTCTACATATATAATACATACGAATATCAATCATATATGATGCCCCCGTCCTCCTTCACAGGTTGCAACAACGTCAAACTTTAGATTCCGTAGTCCCGCGAGTTCTTGTTTAACTGTTTTCCCATCTGGGACGCCTTCGCCAGACAAGGGTCTGGGGCCATGTTCTACTTTAGCTACCCATAGGCTCCATAGTGGCTCCTTTTTGGGAGTACCTTATAGGATTCTAACTATGATCCCCCCAAAAGGAACTACTATGGGGCCTTAGGGTAGATTGGGGACCCGAGGCTTCTATCGTAGCGCCTCACCCAGTTGCTGCCGCGCCCCTGAGGCGCAGTAGGCACTCGCCGCTGCGAGCTCCTGGCGCATCCGGGTCCAAGAACTCCTAAACTACTGTTTAAATTTCTAGTTTCTGAAAGCCCAAGCCGAAACTTGTATTCGCAACCTCCTGCTCGAAACCGTGAGACGAAGTCCTCGCTCCAACGTCCTTTGATTGGAGTCTTAGAAACCTAGCTATTAAGCCCGGATGTCCTAGATCCTGGTTTAAGTCATACATTCCGAAGACCTAACCTATCTATTCCTGCAATCTTACCTTCGTTTGGTGTCGGGTCATAATGCTGGCACATAACCTCATTAAAGAACATGTAAAGCAATCCCTGGGTAAGCCTCGCGTCCGCAACAGTCCTTAACCGTAAGGCTTAATTAAACCCCAAAGTCCTCTCTAGCCTTCTGGTTTGTACTCGGAGTTCTGTGGAACCCAATAATTATCATTCTGATATTGATCTCCGCACGTTCTACTTTTGAGCACGGTTCCCCAGTCTTGCATACATCACGCTGAGAAGGAAGAATGCCCACTAACGCACGTCTACCTCTGCCAACGATTTCCTTCTCTGATCCCTGAGGCAGCCACCATGTTGCTCTCCCATGAATTTCTGCATTTTCTGAGAGGGGACCGAGTGTTTGTCTGTATTGCCTAGACTAGGGTTTGGGCGTCATTATACTATAGTTACAAGAAGGAACCCCAAAAGTAGTGTAGGTTATTCTTAGCGCCCCTATATTACAAGCTGCCTCAACTGCCCGCCTCAGCAGCGACATCCGACGCCTCGCTAGCCGCACGGCGCAGCTGTGTTTCCGCCTCTGGGAACCTGTCATAGGGATCTGAAGGTTAGGGTTGTTAGGATTTGGGGATCGGAAGGAGGAGGAGCTGGGACGATTCGGGCTTAGAGTCATCCGGGGTCCTGAGGGCTTGCGATCTGAAGGTCGGTAGAGACATCAGGCTGATGAGGGTTTAGGATTTCAAGATAAGCAGGTGGACTTGGGCTAGTGTCTGTGCTTTGGGGTTTCAGGCTCTAGGATTCACGGCATTTGGGGGTACGAGACGACATAATGAGGCTTTAGGGCTGCGTAAGGCTTGGGATATAACGATAAAGTTTAGTGAGTTCGAGTGTATCTGTTGCTCTTTGAAGTTATGTTGACTTAGCTGTTGCCGGCTGCAGCTCTCAACTGTTGGTGTTAAACCCACTTAGTGGCTGAAGTCGTAGCGATGTTGTCGATCGAGCAGTCGGTCAACGAAAACTGCGTCAAAAGCGGGACTCAGTGACCCAAGGATCATAGGACCATGAGTCTTTAAGTAGTTGACTGAAGACAGCTGGACCGAAAGCAGTGATTCAGGCATCAGGTGAATGGTGGGGGATGGATCGTCAATCTGTGTTGCGTCTCACTGCAAGCAGCCCAGAGTGATCCTCAAGAGAAGTCAGAAGGACTATATTGCAGAACCATGATCATAACCTCCATGTAGTTGCAAAGAACCTGAACCATTACACCAAAACCCTCGCGAACCTCCGCTGGGTCTGAGCTGCACGGCCCAAGATTTCGGCAGCTCCTGCTTCGTCCTGAACGTGTTTGATACATATAATAGGAGGCTTGACAATTGAAATGGAGTGTGCATACATATATGGGTGGTTGTCCAAACTGGGGTCCCTTTTGGGTTCCCATCATAGTACGGCACCTAATATTTAGGGTGCCCAACAAGGGATCATAGTTTTGACAACCACCCATATGTAAAGCTATGGGGGCCTTAACGATATCATGACTAGTCATTACTCAAACCTCAATTCAGGGCTTCGGGCGTGATGGCAAGTCTGCTATAGATGGCTTCGCGGGGATTCAGAAATCAACGTCCATTCGCGCTCTCAGGATCCACAAGCTGAGACAGTCAACGCGCCCTTTGCTCGAACCCCTACACGCTGGTTCAAGCCTAAACCTACACTCTGAAGCTTGAGCCCGGCACCTGCACCCTAAATCCTGGCAGCCCCACCACCAACCAACCCCAACCACCGTAGGCCCTACCGATCCCAGCCCGTTTTTGCAACAGGCTTCGTACTATCCTTGCCCCTTTTTCGAAACTCGCAGCCCCGTTTTAAGGCACGTTGCCCCTAAACCCTAAACCCAAGAAAAACCTCAACATCGGAGCCTGCAAAGCAGCCACCTCTTCGGCCGCAGCGCCTGCGAAGCCTGCACCGACCTAGGAGGTGGTCTGGCCTATAGTATATAGGGGCCTTAATAATTAGAATAAGATTTTGGGGTGTACAATCAATAATCACAAAAGGAAGCCCAACAATTTCTAAAGGTAATGATTCAGGCCCCTATATTATCACCGACCTAAGATGTGGTTGAGGCCTTAGGCTGTTGTTTGACGCTCACACTCGGACAAGCCTGGCAAGGTCTGCAGCAATACTGTTGGAGTGTAGGGGTGTAGGGTCTAGATAACCTACCTCTTTAGGGTGCCCTAATGTTGTTTCTATAAGCCCTTAAAAGGTAGGTTATTTGGGGTTAAAGTAGGGGCTTGGGTTCCAAGGGCTACCTGCTTGTTTCGGGCTCCGTGTTGCGATTTCCCTGGAAAGTTGTTGGGTTTTGTTCAGTGGTTTGGGACTTTAGGGATTTCAGCTTTGGGCTTAAAGTACTGTGCGGGGTTTAGACATCGGGTGTAGTAGGGCATCCAAGCATATGCGAGGAATTTCCTTCTTATTCGCTTCCGGTATTGAACTTTCAGTTTGGTTTGGGGCTCGTAAACTGTGGGGAAGGAGAGCATACAGGTACAGTACAGAGAGCTTCTACGGCAACTTATCTCCTGGCATACCATGTGAAAAGTCATGCCACCAAGCGGTGAAAAAGGGCCCGCGCGAACGCCCTCGACCCTGCCGAATCCTGAGTTGCCAGAGCGTAAGCTTATTGAACGAATACAGTAACTCTAGGGAAAAAGACGGGCTTATCACCAGTCTCCCGTACGTACTCCACCTATGTATAACTTCTAATTTATTAATAAGAGTCCCGCAACCATTGCTCTCGCACGGAGTAGCCGCAGCGCCTTTCCGTGCCTGCAGGTAGAGCACCCGCACACCAACTGTTCGCTACTGTTTTCGCAGCCACTTGTGTAAGATTGCGGTATAGTGGTTTCGATTACCACAGTTTGACAGTGGATAATACATTCCAGATTGCATGTCTGGGGACAAGTCGTGTCTGAATGGATGTCGAAGTGGTGCAGGGTAATGATCCGCAGTCATAAACATATTCATAAGATTAAACACCCCCAATGCCTTACATTATCTATAGTTATGAAGGCTCCCATATATTCGAGTGTACGCACATCATCGTCATTGCGGCTAGGTCTGCTGGGGACTGTGGCTGCGTGGCGGTCTGCGTCAGTCTTCTGAGTAGGGCTTGGAAAAAGCCGCTGAATTGAAAGGAGGAGGCGACTGAGTTTCGCCGCGCCTCTTTGTGTTAAAGTTCCTGGCTGGCACTGAGAACCAATAGGCAAGTGTAAAGCGATACGCACCTTTAATCTTTAATTTTCTCGTATCTACAGCGCTTGCATGAATGCCCCTATCCACGCTGCTGCATCACTGAAACTGCTGCTGCTGCTGATCGTACCACCAAGACCTTCATCATCATCATTACCATGGCCGGTTTCATCAATCAACAGGCTTATCAGGACACTTTATCTTCTCCACTTCTGGTCATCAGAATCGTCGCTTCAGTTTAATGGCTGGCAGACGGTTGGCGAGCTTGGCCTGTCATCAAATACCCAGATCCAAAAACGCTAGAAGCCCACCTAGAGGCTTTCGCTGGTGCCGGCGCCCCAAGTAGACCGGGTTGCAGCCTCACAACACGAAGCGGCTTACTTTTCGGGTTTAGGCTTCTTAGGAAGCGAGCTTGTGGATTGAAATCAGAGCTTTGACCCCGACGGGCTCAGAGGCCTATGAGGACATATTCTGGAGCTTTCGTGAGCTGCCAGTCACATGGGTGTCTGCAAGAGGCGAGGATATGGCCCAAGGCGAGTTTCAGATGCTGGAGTTCTGCCACTCATCGCGAGTAAAGATTCCTATCAGCGAGAGAACCCCCCAATCGGCCTGCTTCTAGCACAACGGTAAGCGGCACTTGAGTGCGTATGTGAGTATATGAAATTCATCTCATTAGTGGGGCACCGGATTCTGCTTCCCTTGTTGTTGGGGGCTTTGTGGCTCGAGTTTCCCGGAGCCCAGGAACCCAACACCTCAACACTAAATCCTAAAGCCTGTGTCCTTTCCCTCGAGCGCCGAGATGCTCTCCGAAGAAGAGGAGGCCGGTAGAGCACTTCTCATAGGCATCCTCCCGACGAAGAAATGCACAGGTTGTGCAGTCAGGCCGAAAGGATTGGCACGGGTGGTGTTGAAGGTCTTGAAGGTAGGTTTCTTGTGTTGTTTGCGGAATTGGGGTTAAGGGTTAGGGCTTGAGGTTCAGGCATTTTGAGGGGAGCGGTTAGGATATCAGAGACGCTCCTCCCATTCAGCTTCATCAAGCAACTCCCGGATCTGTTGCAACATGAACTTGTCCACATCGTCGTCAACGCCTCACAGACTCAAGCAGGACATCATGACGTTCAACGCCAGCATCGGAGCTGCAACACTGATATCTAGACTGTACTATAATTTACCGTATTCTGCGCATAATGCCTAAATAACACTGAATAATACGATATTCGGCTATATTCTACTATCATAATATACCAGACTAGACAATTATACAAGGTTGTTCAGGGTTTATAGGGTTCCGACGCATACGACGAAAAGTGTATAGGGTTTGGGGTTTAGGGTTTTGCCTAGGGTCTAGCGTTGGCGCGTGCTAAGGAAGCCTGTATAATTATTAATTCAACCCCTAAGGTCCCGTACTTATTATACCTAGAGAATATAATATACTCAAAACCTCGTTCATTTTCACCACCTCCCAGCTGACATCATTTTTACGGCTTGGGGCGTTTAGAGTTTAGGGTGGAAGCTGACAACTGGCCGACAGAAGCCAAGCTGCAGAAGCAACACATACATCACCAATAACAACTTGCTACGAACACCTACAAGGACTCTACCCGCTAAAACCTCAACCCCAAACCGAAATCCATTAGCCTCGATCCCAAGACGTTAAACCGGAATCCCGTAAACCCCAAACCAACCTCCATCCTATGCCTGGCAGAGAAAGAGCAGGTCGCGGGTCTGCGACGGATCCTAAGCAGGAGTCTTGCAGCTTTCGGGAATACCCAAGGTGAACTGTAGATAACTGTAGTACCTGCACTCTATCTTACCCAAGATGAACTGCAGATAACTGTAGTCTCTGCATTTTATCTTTAGGGTCTTGCTGCAATTGACAGTCTAATCTGTCTGTTTGTCTGTGTATGTTCTTCGAGCGTACTGGACCTGTCATTGATGTATACCTTCCCCCAGGAATGTCGAATGTTGTATTTTTCTGCAAAAACGACACCTGTTTCAGAAATAAGTCACCTTAAAGGAACGCCTTTGAAGACACTGAGGTGCCTTAACAGACTTGTTGCGCATAGTATTACGGTGCCTGAAAGGACTTGGTCCTAGATTTAAAAATAAAGTTCCCAATGATTGGAATATTGAGCTAACGCAAAGCCCTAAACCGGTTACCGCAGTCTTAGCCCCTCAACCCTAAACCCTGAGAGGAGTCCTGCGAGGCAGAAGAAGGCCCTCCGCAGCTCAGAAGCCTCGGCTTTGGAATTGAAAGCAGGTCCATGATATAAAGTGTAAAGGGAGGGGCCCTTAATGGGCATCCCTACCCCATAAGGGGCTACATAATGGATATAGCGTAGCTATATTGAGGGTCCCTCTCCATGTGTCCTTGGACATGATCTGAAGGAAACCCTTGCGAGCAAATGGCTTCCTATAGGGTTTAAGAAGGACTAGGGTCTCAAAACAAACTATTGCAGACAATTGTTTGAACGAGTACTGATCATACGGTCTTCTGGGGTCTGTATATCGAGTGGCATAGAATAGCAGTAGAGTTTGTTGGTTGTATCTGGTATGTATAAGTGGCGTGAAAGTCAGCATTGGGCCTTGGGCTCTTGTCATGGTCATAGTATACCAAGACGGGTGGTTGTCGAAATTAGGGCCCCTTTTTGGGTCCTTTTTATAATACGGCACCTATTATTTAGGATAGCCGAAAAGGGACCATCATTTTGACGACCACCCATACAGTGACCCCCAGAACTCAGTTTGTTCAAGTGCGAAAGAAGGGCCATGGGTTTCGATCTGCAGGTCTTGGCTTTTAAAATTAAGCTAGACTAGAGGCCTTCGTGGTTTCTGTGTATTTGTAGCGAGTGGAGCCTCTATATTACTACTGCTGCTCTAGCTCTCCTTGGGGCCTTCTTGCAGCTATCAGGGCGGTTATTGCTGCTGCTGTCATTGTGTGTCTTCTCCCTATTCTTACCCAGGCTGGTCTTGGAGGCCCTTTGTCAATTCCAACTTTGCTCCTTCTTGGAACGAATACCGAATACTCTACTAAAGGCCCTGTTCAAGAGCGGCTCCGTTACTCGATGCTATCATCTTGAGTCAGTCCTCCTTACAAGTAGAGCGCCTTCGGGAGAAGAACGAGTATGCCGTGTCCAGACACCTTGATTGTCCGAAGCTTCTTGGATGCAGGATAGGGAGGTCGTCGCAGCTTGGCCACCGCCCCCCTCCGAAAAACACTGTGGTGTTCGGAGCTTGGAATTCGGCCGTACTGTTTAGGGTTTCAGGTTTTCGAAATTGGAAGAGGGAGCGAGAGAACCCTTGGGGTAGGCCAGGATACGCGATGTTCAAGTTTTAGGACATGCTACATTGTAAGGACCGACCAAGTTTATGAAGGGCTTGGTGAGGCGAAACGCCGCTTGAAACATAACCCAAACATTGTGGTTAGTGTCTTTTTGGGCGTAAACTTTAAAAAACCGAGGATTCCGAACGACCACCCCCATGTAAAACAGTCTCGGCTGTGTCTGCGTGAGGGCTCGTCTGAAATGCTTCCTAACAGAAATTCGCGATGCGGCTGGCATGGTGAGATTTCGGGTTGAGGGATTAAGCTAAGGGAGTGAGGGTCCAACATTTAGGTTTTGCTAAGCTGAACCCGACTACAATTAACTACAATTAGAAATAGGGAAGTCGGTGCTAATCACTCAGGCCCCCGTATACTTAGGGGCTCCGCCCCTTACCACAAAAAGTCTCCACCGGCGGACCATGCAAAACGTGAGAAAGGTTACCTACCCAGCGCCAAGTATAAGGTTTAAAGCTGACACACGCATCATTTTTACAAACACGACCCAGCAAGCAAGAGAAACAAGACAGTATTGTTGGTGATTATGAGGAGCTGAGCTTTCATTTGCAGCTCAGCACCAAACCCCACCCTCAACCCCAGATCCTCAAATCCTAGACACTACAGGGCCGAAAGAGACGCCATAAGTGAATAACAACAGCTGCAATTAGGAACTATAGCCAAACTTCAGCTAGCACTTTCGCTCGGAAGAACAAATGTCATAGGAAGCGCACTTTAGATAGTCCTGGCAGCAGCTATGTCCAGATCGATGTCGATGCGAATACTGACAATGAAAACAGTGATGTTCAAATTCACATTTGGAAGTAAGTATGACATTAACCATATCAACAATAGGAAACATGATTGTGATGTTGATGATAATGACATGATGGTGTTGGTGATGGTGATGACGGCCATGATACTGGTGCTACTACGAAAAATCACAGACACTACCACATCGTAACACTACTGCAAGATCAAAAACTATAGAAACCATACTGATCATAATCAACAATAGACATCCTGACGATCACAAACAAACGCAGCTTGCTCGGGAGCCTGATTGTCATCGGTAGCAGCCGCCAACAGCGCCAGATGCTCCAGGAAACCAAGGGCGCCCTCCCGAGCTGCAGTCGAAAGTACGGGGTCCTTGTTTTCAGGGCTGTTCTCGGGGTTATAGGGCGTTATAGGGACTTTGGGAAACGGCTTGGCAGTGGTGCGCGCTGGGTTACATAAACCCTATACCCTAGAAACCCTAAACCCTCTAAATCCAGGCCAGCAACCTAGCTGCCATTCATCTGCTGCTTCATTTCCGATTACTTTTGGCTCGGGGCCCTCTGAGCCTTCCAGGAAGATGTGTACCTTAAACCATGAACCCTAAACTAGGCCTAAAACTGCTTTTGCGTACGGAATTCGGGATGATTCGATTCTCGCAGGCCTTCCTAAATGCAGCTTTCGGAAATTCCTTGTCCTGCAGGGGCGCGGAAGGATGGTCGGGCGTACCTGACGAAGGCAACCGCGACGGCTTGTGGCGGCAAATTGCATGGGGCTTTAAGCAAGGTTGTCAGGATTCGGCGTGCAGGGGTCGCAAGGTGTTCGGATTTTGAGGACCGCGCTAGAAATAAACAGGGATGCCGCCGACAACCGAGTATATGAGCTACCGATTCAGCAGGCAGCAGCAAGCCTAGAACCAGGACATGCATCCCGCCTAAACCCTAAACACAGCCACACACCAAGCTGCTCCCTGAGTATTGATCTCCATGCGCCCATGTGGCACACTGGCACACTGCTACGCGTCGCTTCCCAAAATGTAGGATCCGTTGTGATGAGAATATGGATTTTGGGGAGTATTTGTACTGGAGTTGTATCCAGGAACCCGACGGACCAGTGTTTTACTATTGTTCTGTGGTCTGTGGGCGTAGGAACATACAGGGACTATAAGAAGGGGCATTGGTTTAAACAAGGCCCCCCCCCTACTACGGACATGGGGACAGCAAAAGCTCTTTGCGCAGCTTCGGTGCGAGGAATCTCCGGTGGAGTTGAATGAAATTTAGGGTTTCAGGGTTTGGCGGATAAAGGTTTTGGATTTAGGGCTTCAGATTCTGGGCTGGGCCGGATTTGGGCGTGGACAGCGGGTGAACAAGTGAGAGCACCAGGACTTTCTTTGAGTCTCGGCAGCTTGAGCCACGTGACACAGGAACGGTCAATCCTGCACATGGAACAGCTTTTCACCCATGCGCATCCACGTTCAGAAGCTTCTTGAAATAAGGACCCGGCGAAGCTAGCTATTCAAGATTGATTCTTGGCTTTAGCTCATCTCACATTGCTTCCACACAGCCATCTGCTGAGGATGTCCATTCACACCCGAAGCCTAAAGCTCTGAAACCTTCAAGCTGCAGTCCCAACAAGCCGTCTAATCAGAGTTTAATGAGTAGGAAAGAAAGATCATGTTACTGGCAATCGTACTAACAAGAAGCAGCCCTAAGCCAAATATATTCAAAAGAAAAACAGAGAGGAACACCGCCTCACACACTGTTGAGCACAGTTAAGCTGAATGGAGTACGAGAGGTCTGCATCGCAATACCGGACAGCGACAACTTTGCATTGTAGAAGGTCAGGCCCACGCAGCGTCCCTCGGGAGCCAAGGGTGGCTGCCCCGCAGTTGGCGGCCTTGGTGCTGACTATAATACTGTTTGGGGGCACTAATTATCATAAGGAACCCCCCAAAACCAGTATAGGCAATTCCCCCTATATTGCAGAGCAAAACCGGCTCCGTTCGGGAGTCGGGAGTAGGTTCAGCAATCTAGGGTTGATTCTTGCTAAACAAGTTGAAGCAGATCAAGTTGCGGCTTGCAGACTTGTTGGGCTTGCTTTTCGGATTTCGAGTTTACGTACGTACATACATACATACATCTGGAAAGGCTCAATCAAAGCTTACCATAGCCTCCTCGTCAAGCCTTGAATGTATCCCCAGGGCTGAATTCAATATTGACCGACCCTTAATCGCAGAACCGATCCTCAAGTTGTTCAACCCAAGAAGGGATTAGACGGTACAGGTACAACTATACAATGTCCTTGCCTGGCCATGGACCCTGAAGCGTCGCACCGGCAATTCACCCCTTCACCGCTGATAATTCATGAGTGTTCGTATATTTCTAGCATATCATACCATCATGGCGTCAATCCGGGTTGTACATCGAAACATCAGTCTAAATCAAATCATGGCAGTTTGTTGCCGCTCTTTCCGCCGATGTCTGCAGACGTATCCGAACGGCGCTTCGCAAGTTCGCTGCCTCCTGGGAATGTGTGCGAATCAGGGCGCAGGTTATCATGGCTGTAATGACTTGAATGCTTATCAGCCAATGAAAGCCATCGACACACAGTCCAGCTATTCTAAGTATACTTTGACAAACGGCGGTGGTACGCCAAAGCAATGTGCACAGTCAACAAATTAACCATGATAGTAAGGCAGTAAGGGCAATGACTGCAGCAATAGGAGCGACAGTACGCAGAATCATAACAATAGTCATCGTAGCAGATGAGGCGAGACTGACAATACAAACTCTACAACTAGTTAACAGGATACGAAACAAGTTAATACTACGAACGACCGTAACAACAATAACCACAACGACAACGATAGCGGTACCCAGAAAAAAACAATACTGACGTATTATTACGAAGATTAGCTACAACGATGTGTGAAGATTTTACACGAATAGCAAACAATTAACACTACGAGCTACGGTCATAGCAGCAGTAATGACCAGAATCATGCGACGACTTCTACGACGACGACAACAACAACTAGAACAACAACTACAGCAACAACAACAACAACAACAACAACAACAACTACTACTACTACTACTACTACTACTACTACTACTACTACTACTACTACTACTACTACTACTACTCTGAGTGCCATACAGTTCCTACGATTGCTAGTACTAGTAACTACTAGTACTACTCTTTTTACTCTGAGGCTGCGACGACGACGACGACTACTAGTGTGAATGCTGCTGCTAATGTTCACACTCATACTGAAACTTATACTGCCATGACAATAACAGTAAGCATCATGAGACTGAAAAGACTCAATGCTAACATGGCAAGACTAACACTGCTGGGCACACCAAGACCCATTCCAGTATTTGCGACCATAGGTATACATGGGATTCCCTATACATTACTCTTAAGGGTTGAGGCTATTGGGTTTCCAACTCTTGGGCTTCTACTGTAAATTAATATTTCTTGCGATTGCTGCAGGTTTCCGAGTTTTGTGACAGGGTTTCGGCTCCAGACTTTTTGAGTAATGGGACTCACTCTCGACAACACCTCGCGCTTCAAAATCAAGCGGTTTTGCGGGGATCAAGATTTGTACTCTGCTGGGGTTTAAGCAAGTGTCGGCGTCCAGGGCACTGCCGGCTGTTTCTGACTCGTTCGCTCAGTGTGCTTAGTACCACAACATCCTTTAAATACATCGCAGGGTATAATACGGATGATCGTGATGTATGCATTCCTTGAATTTTAGCAAAGTCAAGCAGAGCAGTCCCTTCTCTAGCAAGCAACCCGAAACACTCAAACGTATTGAACCGTGATGAAGATACATGCGGAAAGCACCACCCAAAGCCTAAAGCACCTTAAACCCTAAACCCTATAATCCCTAAACCCTAAACCCGAACGTGCAATAGGCCTGCATCTCCGACTCCATGGCAGACCAGCCAGGGGTCCAGACCTCAAAAGCCTCCAAGATGCAGGGACACGAGGCAAGGGCGACAGTAGACTATACTGAACTCAGAACCCTAGCAAAAAATATTTTTTTGCTGTTTCTTAGGGATTATAATAATCAAAAATCAAAAATTATTTCTAAGTACCCCTAAGTAGAGGGGTTTATAGGGTGTTCTTCTCCTTGACGGCGAGTACCAGTTCAAAGATTGAATCTCGTAAGGTTGAGAATTTTAGGGCTTCGGCGTTGGGGCTGGAAGCTTTCCGAGGTTCATGGTTTGTTGCTTCCCAGATGCTTCTTTGCATGGTTGGCGTGCAAACCCTGCCGCTCTGAAGCATGGAGCCTGAGTCTTCTTACAGACCAACAGACGCGCTTCTTGCGCAAATCGCTGCAATGAGCCCTGGCGCCCCTAGCCCGAAGACTCTCTTGAAACAGCGATCCGCTTCCCACGAACCCCCGACCTCAGTGTGTCGCAGATAGAACGCCAGCCGGTCAGAGGAGTCGCTGCGGCAAAGGTGCCAGAGCTGATAGACACGAGGTGTGCAAGCCACATCCTGTTCAAGGAGGCGGCGAAACATTGCGTTGCGTTCCAACAGGTCTGCTGCGTGCGCTTGAACAGGTCGTGCACGAACGAAATATGCGCAGCTTTTGATACAGCTGTGCATGTCTAGGACAGGCTTTTCCGCAACCAGACTAAATAAGCAACTCTGTAAGACTCGTGCGAAACCCTGCGAGACCGTATGATATAAGGGCTGAATTCACGGCCTGCCTCCACCAGCACATAGCCCTCGCCACCTCCATCAGTAAGCACTTTTGTAGTAAAGTCCGCCAACAAGTCGCAGTTGCAACAACAAGCGTTGCATCTCCCAAGAAAGGCTCTGCAGTCTTAAACTGACGAGCTTGCAAAGACTCGTGGATGAGCATTAAAGGGGATTCAGTAATTAGAATAAGACTTTGGAGGGTGCTATAATCAAAATTAGAAGCCCCCAAAACTCTATTCTAATTATTAAGGCCCCTGCATTAGGCGTTTGAGCTCGAGCCGAGGGTAGTTTCCCATAGTGGTCCCCTCGTCTCGTTGCCGGAACCCTAGCGCGGCACTTGTCAGTGCCCGCGAAACATCGCCACTCGGGACTTCGGTCAGTGGCCCTGCCTTCCCACCTAGCTGTACGCCAGGCGAGGCTAGTGGGACACTCCCCGCTTTGCGGCTGGAGGGACTTAGGTCCGGGATATTTTTATGGGCTTGCACTGGTGTGGCCAGCCCGTCAACTATCTCTGGATCTTCTTTTTCTGCTTTTGCGGCCTCAGTGGCTCGACATATACAGCGCCGGCGGCAACCGGCGGCCAGATCTGGGGAACCCAGCTGGCATCGGCGCTTGAGAAAGAAGCGCACGTGCAGCCGCACCCTGCTAAGGAATTGGCTGAGTGGTACGGCAGCAAGCAGAACCGCACTGCTGAGAGCAGTGGGTGCCCTTTCTTCGCATCATTCGAGAAGTACGTTGGTGGAGCAAGTCCGTCTACGACTTCAGAAGGGAACAATGCCACAGCCGTGGCATTGCAGTTGCGGACAGACCTGCAAAGCAAGCGCAGTGTTTTGTCAGGGCTGCGGGCGAAGATGGGATCAACAACAGTACGCTCCAGAGGCGGCCCCCGGTACGCCAAAGGATTGGCACCAGCAGCCCTGGCAGCGACCCAGATCTCCGCGAGGACGTGGCCAACGAGGTTGGCAGGACTACAGCGAGCCCTCGTCGCCTCGTCGGCGAGGGTGGCAGAACAAGGGGCAGCCAAAGGGAGCCCCCAAAAGCAAAGGCAAAGGCAAAGGCAAGGGGCAGCCGGGCAAGGATGTGCCAGCTGCTACCGACCCGCCTGGTGGTACCGCGCAGCAGCTGATCCAGCTGCTACCGACGGCCCCCCAAGGAATTGCGCCGGCATGGCCGAGTCAGGCGTCCCCAAGCGAGCCCGTGGAGAAGTCCAAGGACCTTATGGAGCTGGTGAACGCACTGGCCAGTCAGAAGGCGGAGTTGCCCTTGGGAGTGCAAGCTCTGCTGGAGAACCACATGGCCTCCAACCACAAGTACGAGGCCAAGGCTATGCACAAGTTAGTGCATCAGCAAGGACAAGCCAAGGTGGAGCTATCGAACGTGCGCCGAGCCAGGGCGCAGTTTATGCAGGAGTGGCACCTCTACCTGCACAAGCTCACGGACCTGCTTTCCACTCAGGTCCAGAAAAAGAATGCTTCACTCCTGGCGTATGCGGAGGCCGAAGCAAAGTGGGAACAGCAGCTGGGTGTGGCGTCAAAGGCCATTCAGGCTGCGTCTGGGATGGCAATCGAGGTCGCTTCGGAGGACGAGGATGCCATGGATGCCAACGATGCGGAGACTACGAAGGATGCCGGGGAGGAGGCTGCCCGGCAGACGGCGGTGGAGGCGGCCACTGCCAAGGAAGTGGCTCTGATGGAGGCCTTGGCATCAACAACGGAAGCGGCCCAAGCACAGGCCCAGGAATACCGCGAGAGGACCCCGCGTCGGTCCAAAGGAGGCTCCCATGCAGGCAACGCAGGTGGCTTGCCTGGCTTTCAGGCCTTGTCGTCACAACAGGCAAGGACTTCCGAGGATGGAGCGCGCAAGGAGGCTGTCAAGGAGCCGCCCCCTGGCACGGCCCAGTAGCTTGCTTGCGAGAGGCTGCTGGGCCAACGGCCCTCCCACGGTTAGTTCCTACTTCCGTGGTGAACGAGTATGACTGCGTAGTGGAATACGCAGCACCAGTTCTGGCTGCATGTTTAGCCGCCGAGGTTGCTCTACTCGACTACCAGGTCCCGGACAACCCTTTTGAGGATGTGGACCCGCGGCTCTGGGGCGGCAGCACCTTCCTCAGCGGCGACGGCCGAGCATGCGAGAGTGCAGATACCGATGCCGGGACGGTCAGGTTTATTACGTCCCCATGGTCACCCCTGCAGGATGAAGCGATCAGTGCCGAGATTGAAGATGTCCGCGCAGACGAGCTGACAAGGAGCCTCTCTGTCGACGAGTCTAGTCCAACCCTCCAGACCCCGCCCGTGCGCATGTGGGACACGCCGGGTGCTGCGGATGGAAGCGATGGACAGGCCGAGTGGACAGACAGGCACCTCCTGAGTCGCCCTTGGTTAGCGACCCGAAATGCATCTGACTGTACAGCTGTACTCTCTGCTTCTGTACATACTTTGAGGAATAGCTGCCTGCAACGGGCCTACCATGCCCTGCCTCTCAAAGTCGCTTTCAGGGATTCTGGGATGTTGAGCGCGTCCAATGGTTGGCGGCGTCAGGCCAACCGTGTGCTTGCTACTTGTCCTTCTCCCATCTCCGGACAATCTGGCACCTCACTCCCTGCTGGTTACAAGGTCGGTTCCTGTCGAGCCTTGGCCAGACCATGCTCCCGCCTCCAGGGAGTGCCTTCCCACTTTGCACCACAAACCTACCATCTTCCCTCGGTCGCAGCATGTGCGGGCTGTGCCCAGCACTGCATTTGTCCAAGGCAGACCTCGCCCCTGCCCATAGATGTCAGGCGGACATGCCCGTTGCGGTTGGATGCTGGCAGCCCGCCACTCCAACCTTCGGCTGACATCTTTCTCTGGCCCAGTGGCAATGTTGGCCTTGTTGATGGCTCTCACCAGGCTGATGGTTGGCCGCCAGGCCTGGGTGGTGTGCAAACCCCGGCAGGCCAGCCCGTTCCAAAAGCCCCTCCCTCGATTCCACTGATCAGCGATTTCCGGGCCATGATAACGGCACAGATCCCTACCACACCGCAGTGGCTGCAGGGACCCTTGCTCAATTGGTCCCCTTTTGAGATCCGAGGGCTTTACACCAAGGCGAGTGACGCTGAGGAGCAGCGTCTTTTCACCGTTCTGGAGCGCCGAATGGATCACCTGGTCCGGGGAGCCCGCCCAGCTTGGAGCATGCTCGATTATATGACGGCAGCCGTGCATACCGTTCCATACCAGGTCCGTGCAATTTGGGTTATCACAAGGCCTTTGGAAGGTATCCCAGTGCCGCAGATTGTTTTGACGTCAAGGACCGCAGCGCCTGGCCATCGAGCATTGCCGGTAGATCTCCGTCCGGTTGGTGGTCTTCTTCACACTGTGTTGTTGCCAGTGCCTTGCACCGAGGAAGCAATCTGGGCAGCCCTCCGTGAGAAAGGTTTCGATCCCCAGGCCAGGCTTCGGCAAGCACACGAACAAGGTTCGGCCTCGTTCTTTGATGACCAAGATGAGGTTGTTACTGGTGTTGAAGCAGGCCCCAATGGACCCGAGTGGCTTGAACTTCGCTGGACTGCGGCCGATGGCCCGCCTGTTGAAGCCGAGTACGAGGGCGGTCCCGCTGTCGTCTTCCGTGTGCCGCGGCCATCGCCTCGGCCTCCAAACGAAGAGACGACTCACACCACTACCCAGGCGCTTGCACCGAGCAGAGCCAGTTCTAGCCATGAGGCCCTGCCAGTCATGCCACGGCAGGATCCTCCTGCCCTCCTGTTGAGTGCATCCTCTGCTGACACCACCAAGGCATGGGGGCATGGGCCTCAGGATGCTACCCTCTTGCCAGAGTACCTGGATTCCGAGCACTACCACCACCAGGACGTTTGTCTGTTCTCGTGGGGTACGGATGCAGCCGAAGCCCGGGATCGCTTTACTGTCTTCGACACACACCGGCATGTTGTTCTTATCGGCAAGAGCAGTACGTCGACGTTGAAGGACATTGTTGAAGCAGCGATCGCGACGGCGCCCTTCCGCGTTCGTGCCATCCAAGTCCTGATTGACACACTTCCGGGACTTCCGAGACCGCAGCTCATACTGTTTCAATACGGTGTGCGCCTTGATCACGCACCGGTGCCGTGGGATCTGCGTGATGTTGGCGGCAGCATCTTCACTGTGCTACACAGACAAGGGGAGCTCGTGTCTACTGCCATTGACAGACTCCAGCGGGTCACACCCCCGACTCCGCCGATATGCGATGCCCTCCGTTCTGGCAGGTTGGTTGTGATTGACACCTTAGGTCTGCTAGGACTCCGACTCCCAGGTGACCTTGAGGAATCGCAGCATTACCGAGTGCAGGTTGCAGTGTGTCCACCCGCCGTGGCTTCTGGCTCTTCTGGCGGCGTGACACCGGCCCAGGCATGGGACTTCATGTTGTCTGCCCCTGCTTCCACTACCTCTACAACCACCACTGTCCCTGACAGGCCAATTGGTATGCTGTATCGTCTCACCGTGTTGCATGGCACGGCGTCACACACGGTGCCGGTTTCTTCCCCGGGTTACCAATTTGCTGCCGTCCTGTGGACGGCTGTGCTGGAAGTCCTTGCACAACACCCATGGCCCGGAGGGCCCCTCTATGCTGTAGCGGCCAGTGCTCAACCGCCCTGTGTCAATGGCGTTCAGGAGATTTTGTTCCTGCTCTGCCACGGGCCTGGCATGGAGCCTATCACAGTTGCAGTTGATGAGCGAGGGCAAGACAACGGGATCATGTCTTGCATGCTGCCAGCTGCCACGCCTTGTAGCCAGCTTGTAGCCGCCGCTTGGCAGAACCAAGATGTGCAGGCGTTTGTGAATGGGGCCCCCAGTTGTCTGCTCCGACGCACTGTTTGTACTGGGGACTACGTACAATATGCTGTGAATGGCCACACTCCCATGAGCACGCCGATCGGGGCCATCCTCAACCGTTTTCCTGTCGTGGAAGCTTTCGTGTGGCCACTACTGCTCGGCCCCAGCGCATACACTCTAGACGTGGTCGGAGAGGTAAGGCTTAGGCGTAGGCTGCAGAGCCCTTATGTGC